AACTACGGGAGAAAGTAGGGATAGGAGGCCGAATTGACGAGGAGACGGAACTATATAGGGACAACGTATTCCAACCGCTTCAACACTATAAAAAGAGAGTTTCCAGTGTTGCGATAGTTGGAATACGGAGTCGTGTAGCACTTCCAGCCACACGCCCGCCAGGCTGAGAGGCCCAAGCCTCCCAGACCCACGTGACAGGCCAAGGGGGAATATCCCCACCTTCTAGTCAACAACACCACTTTCAACTATCATAAACCATCGATTAGAACCAATTTACTGTTATTTGTTATTGACGAACGGAATTCCGTTTCACCCCCTGTGAAACCTATAAAAACTTTAAAACTTACTTAGAAGTAAAGAACTTAATTTAGATTAATTCCTTCCGTACGAAGTCTTTTAAGTTTATAAAGGTATTATAAAGCCTATATAAACCTTTCTACTAGTTATAAACTTCTACGGTATATAATATCTATATATTAAAATATATAACTTCCTATAGTAACGTCTTAAAGAATATATTAAGGCTAGGATTTAACTAGAACTTTACTTACTACTAAAATAAATAAAGGTATTAAATAAGTAAAAAAATAGTTCCGTAGCCGTAGGATTAGTATAGATAAACTTTATATATTACTATTAGGAAGTAATAATAGTTTAGAAATAAATAAAACTTAAGTATATAAAGTATACCTAAACGATTGTTTCCTCTTGTCGTACTACTATTTCGTCCTCTTCCTTATCTTCCTGGCTACCCCCCTTAAAAGTTATATCCTCCTAAATAACGTCTATATAGCCTTGCTACTTAACTTATAAGTACGTACGCTTACGTAACTTTATTCCTTCTCTCTCTTACTTTATTACTTCTTATACCTTAAGAAAAGGCTTTCGTTCGGTTCGAGTTTGAATTTAAGTTAGAGGTTTAGGCGTAGGCGCTTTCGTAAACATATTAATAGTAAGTAAAGTATTATACTAGTTATTACTATGTTAAGCGTATATTATTTTAGTCGTAACTTCTTTAATACTTATAGTTTAGTAACAAGCAGATTGTTACGGCCAGCTAACTGACAGTGGGTTTGTGTTAGCAGTAAGTCAGGGATTGAGAGTAGTAACAGTCGTTCCGTGGTCCTGGTCGAATAGATCGTAGATCTTCAAAGGTCTTGGTGATCAGTCAAGGCCTCAACAAGAGTCGTAGAGTAGTCGTCACTTAGGATAGCTGAAAGTACCGGTGAGGGTAGTCACGAAGTTGATTGCTGAAGAACTAGGAAAGGTAGGACTCGAGAGGACTCGAGTCCCAACTATATACAAGTCTGGTTCCATGCTGAACACTTCCTGATCCTGGGGGACCGACACCCAGGACGTCGGTCCATCGCTGTCACAGTTCTATTAGACACAACAGTAGGGATGCCACAGTTATGGGGCTGCCAGTGTGGCTGCCAGTGGGGCTGCCACACGTGGGGCGATACTGTCGCCCTAGACTGCCCTATAGGTATATTAGACCACCTGTTCGCTAGACCTAGGATAGACCTAACCTAATAGACAACAATGACTAGAACGACTTATTAACTGTGACAAGTGGTAGCACAACCTACTTTGCGATCCCTCGCGACCTCATAGTTAATTTTTCAGCATGGGCAAATAAGCTACTTTTTTCAATCCGTTGAGAAACACCAGACCGTGGCCAATCCGCCCGCACCAGGCTAATTCTGCTGCTAACGCTGCTGCTAACGCCGACGCCGCCAATATGCGCGCACCAGCTATACTATTCGCCTCCCCTCAAGACCCTACGCGAGACCATCACCCCTCGTACCGTCAACGCCGTTATCCCTCTACGCCTACGCCAGCGTGGGACCCAACGGTATGGCCGTCAATTGACGACCTCAAGGCTATCCAGACCCGCCAACAGCGCCCAGAGCCCTGCCGGAAGTGTAGCGCTAGATTCCCCAGCAAGAACGCTCTCTTCCGCCACGTCTATGCCAATAGCTGTGGAAGCCAGTTTCGCTGTCGCATCTGCTATAGCGATTTCACATCTCGCAACGCCCTATTCCGACACCTACAACAGGGCTGCCAGCCCTCAGCCTGTAGGGCTGGAATCCCACAGCAGGAGACTGCTAAGACTACTGCCGAGACTACTACCGAGACTACCGCCGAGACTACTGCCGAGACTACCGAGACTACTGCCGAGACTACCGAGACTACTGCCGAGACTACCGAGACTACTGCCGAGACTGCCGAGACTACTGCCGAGACTACTGCCGAGACTACTGCCGAGACTGCCGAGACTACTACCGAGACTACTGCCGAGACTACTGCCGAGACTGCCGAGACTACTGCCGAGACTGCCGGCCAGACCATAGAAGTTATAGAACGGGCTTCTGCGCCGTTTCTACAGACCCTATTCAACGCCGCTAAGCATGCCCATATCTATACCGAAATTAGCCTCTGTATGACTATGCTACAGTCCCAACGACAACAACAGCAACTGCTTTTCCTACCAGACCCAGGGAGAAGATTCGCAGCCATAACGAACATTCAGCAACGATACGGAGTATTCTGGCCCGACGCCGACAGCAAGTACGGCAGGGAGCCTATATTCTATGACCAACAGACACTATGCTACCGAGACGTAGATCTATGGCTCTTAGCAATTGGAAGGAAAATCGTTAATCCATACGCTCGAGACGAAGTCCTCCGAGAATGGCAGAGCCTACTCAGAGGTAAAGCACTCAGCTGGTGGGAATATCACCTTAGGCCCGTGGAAAGGAACCGGTATAGGGCCCTAGGATGGTACGGCCTACAGAAGGGACTAAGTGCCCGCTTTGGGCCAACCCAGCTAGTTAATTACAGCCAGCCAGCCAGCCAGCCAGACAGTTACGCCCAGCCAGACAGTTACGCCCAGCCAGACAGTTACGCCCAGCCAGTTAATTACAGCCAGCCAGCCAGCCAGCCAGACAGTTACGCCCAGCCAGACAGTTACGCCCAGCTAGTTAATTACAGCCAGCCAGCCAGCCAGCCAGACAGTTACGCCCAGCCAGACAGTTACGCCCAGCCAGTTAATTACAGCCAGCCTTAGGCATACCCCCCTATTACGCCTCGCACTAATAGAGGCCTAAGGAAGTCATGTTATTAAGCCGTTTAAAGTCATGTTTAGGCAGCCGAAACGATCGGGACGATCGTCTTTTTCGGGACGGGCACCTATCACAGTTCTATTAGACACAACAGTAGGGATGCCACAGTTATGGGGCTGCCAGTGTGGCTGCCAGTGGGGCTGCCACACGTGGGGCGATACTGTCGCCCTAGACCGCCCTATAGGTATATTAGACCACCTGTTCGCTAGACCTAGGATAGACCTAACCTAATAGACAACAATGACTAGAACGACTTATTAACTGTGACAATCGCCATGGACCGCCCTTGGCACCGTCGGTCCTGTCCCAGGACCGCTTATCGTCCGTCGGTCCTGCTTATCGTCACGTGACCTGTATCCTAGTTCTTCCGTTCCGTGGGGGTTGTTACGACGTAACGGCTGACGGCCGTCCCTATAACCGCTGAGCCCCTGCGGGGTCGTCGTCAGTGGTCTGTTAACTGTCGGGTCGTAACACAGATCTACTTAACTTTCGGAAATAAGTACGATAGTATAAACGTCTTTATTAGGGGTAATTAAGGCTTTGCAAAGAAAGGTAAAAAGGTTTTTAGCCTTATATACTACCTTACGAAACTTATATATATCTATAGGATTTTTTAAAGTAATAGGCATTACCTTCTAGTTTCGGTTAAGGAATTACTTCTTAGACGTAAACTTTACTAAGACCTTACTTATTATATCTATATATAAAGTAAACTTAGAAGTTAATAAGAACTATAACTTCTTAATAAACTTTTTAATAAACTAAACCTAAGTATATATTCGAATAGAGATTCTATCTATATCCGTAATATAAAAAGATATAAGCTATAGGTAAATAATAATATCTATAGTTAGGTTTAGAACTAGTTTCTTCTAGGTTTGCTAGATACTAGCTATACGCTCTTCTAAGCCTTTAATAAAAATAGTAAGGAGACTATTATCTAGCTATATATCTAGTATATAAAGTGCTTATTCGATCGGGTTAGTTATAGTATTAGAAAGTCGTATACGTAATGAAATCGTAGCTGTTAGAGTTTCGAAGTCGTTAGTATTTATAAGGTCGATTTTGTCTAGTTCTTATACTTAGGATAAATCGATTAAACAAAATACATACGTCTTCTACTTCTATAGTAGTTTTACTAAGAAGTAGTCTAGGTTAGCCTGCTTAAGGCACCTTAAAAACATATTCGTATAAAATATAGTAAATATTATTATTAAGAATTAAGAATATACTCCTATACGGTCTTATAAAACTCTATACATATACGTATACGAAATATAGAATTCGCTTAAATTTGTGATAATTACATAGTAAAGATAAGAAGCTTAACTATCTATACGGGTAGTATATGCTTATCTCGTTTATGCATCCTAATTAGGCAATGTTTGAATTTTGACCCAGTGCGCCCTGCGGACTGCCGTACGTGGGCACGTGGCAATACCTCCGAGCTCCGCTGGATAGTGCCTGAGTAATTTGACATGCGAAAAACGATTCAGACTGATTCATGTACTTTTATGTTTATTTGTCACCTTATCAGAGAGGGTCCTGAACTGCAAATGTGGTTCACTGTGGACACACTTCCACTCCCAACGTGATTGACCCTCAGCCCCTGAACACTGTTCGCATCGGCGATTTTACCCCTACCTAAGCACGCAAGACCTGCAGATCGTTCTTGGAACATACTCAGGTAGAAGCTGGATATAAACAGAATGAAGCTTCTTCTCAAGAAAATCACGCCCATGACAAGTATTCTCTAATCAAGCAGCCAAAGTTGGGGGCCATTATTCCATGTCCAAAGTTCCTCGGCTATCGTCTTACACGACTCATGATCATAACGCCATAACAAGGCCTTTCCCGAAAACGCGGCACGGCTTTTTAAGCATACTTGTTAACCATTTTCAGCAGAGCCTCCTCAACCTCCTTGGGGCTCGTGGCGTTGAGGTAGTGGCCGCCACCCTCAACCATCGTCAGCGTCGCCTCAGGCGACGAGGTGAAGAGCTTGATCTGCTCAACGGGGACATCGACGCCAAAGACCGGATCAGCGGTTCCCTATGTGATTTGTCAGCGCCTAAGTCCAGAGGGCCATGCCAAGTCAAGTCGGCCCTGAGACACAGCCAGATGACCCCATGCAAGTAGGGCATTGTGTACATACCTGGAGCCAGTAAACGGGGCACTTGATATCCCGGAGTCTCAGCAGCAGACCGTCACGAGTGAGGAGGTTACCAAGGGCAATCTTGAGCTTCTTGCGGCCCTCATCGCCCTTGTAGACGGACTTGAGCGTGTTAGTCCAGAAGGCGAGGGTCTCCGGAGGTACGGTGCCAGAGAAACCCAGGCTGCCGACCATTCCGCACCAGACGTCGTCGACAAGGAAGTCAGGAGTAGGGACAGGGCTAGACCAGGCTTCGTAGAAGGCTAGGAGCTGGGCCTTGGGGTCCCAGCAGCCCTTGCCACGCGAGTCGGCTGACTCGTAGTCCATGGAGGTGCCCAGAGGCAAGATACCAAGGATCTATTATTATTGTACAGTCAGCACGGCAACTCATAAGCTCTAGCAAAAACCAAAGTCTCGTAAAGAAGAATAAAGAAACGCTGCACATCGGTCATGAACAGAGACAGAGTAATTATGGACGATCAAGTGGCCGGGGGACTACGTACTCTCTCAGGCGCCAAAAGAGCCATACGGGCAACCATCCAGCCGCCCTGGCTGGTGCCAAGGGCGAAAGCCTTCTGGACACCAAGCTTGTCCATGACCTGCAGGGCCATGATAGCTGTGTCCCAGTATGTGAAATGCTCAACTGGGCAGCTGGTGGAGCCGTGGCCGAGAGGCTCGACGGCCAGAAGGTTGACGGCATCCGTCAGCGTCTTGCTGTTGAACTGGTCGTTATAGAGGGAGACAGTGGTGCACATGGAGTTGATGAGCACAACGGTGGGCTTGGCGGGGTCGACCTTGTCCGCGGATAGACGGTAACCGGCCGTAATGCCACCCAGGTGGGGGACCTGTATGGTACTCGTAGCAGCCATCTTTTTCGTTTTCTTGTGGTGATATTCTAAAGGTTTGGGATTCGATTCCTTTGAGACAGATCGAATGTTCGATTCGGGAAAGAGCAAGCTTGGCTGGGGTATTGGCAAAGAAAGTCGGGTTTAACTAGTAGCAAGCTTGAGAGAGAATGCGGGTTTCTTTCTTGTATTTCCACCATGAAGACGCTCGTGGCACCTCCTGCGGGTTGCCATCTGAATATGCCAGCGGTGTATTTCAAACGACCGGCTCCGCCGAAACCCTTCGACTTGTAACCCATCCTGCAGTAGATTGCGGGTTGCTTTGCCCAAACGGGTCTTTTCATAAAATGGCATGTCCTTGCTTAGAAGGAGGTGGAGATGACAGGAACAAAAAGGGACTCCAAAGCTCCAGCAGTCAAAATCAGCTAATTCGCCAATGCTAGTCCCCAGACACGGATTTTAGTCAATGCCTCTGATGTTTCCTTGACATGTGGGTAATGAGGAGCTTGTTGAGGACAAGGAAGGGATCAGCAACCACGCGTTGACCCTTGGGATTGCCAGGGACTGCAATCCGGGCTATTGCCGAAGCACTAGTCACATCATGGATGGTCAGGACATGACTCGGTCTCTGCCACCATAGGGTGGAAATGGTGATAGCCTATGTTCTCCCCGGTTAGCGTCAAGTCTCTAGCGCCATAGAACCCGACAAGTCCGAGAGCATAATTATCAATGAGTTTACGTCTCTTTTCCGCCTCAAAGAGTTAGAATAAAGGAGAACTGTCGACAGTGGGGTTGACAACCAAGTTGGTGAGATGTTCATCCAATACAATTTTTCTTTTCTTGGAGCTGGGTGGCGCCACAATACGTTTTGGGCCACGACGCCGTCTTGTGGGAGTGGATGAGCCGTTGAAAGTCAAAATGCTTCCCGTTCAACTAGAAGAAACGAACATTCGGAAGAACGGGAACATCCATCCTCTAGTCCCTCTCTGGGTTGTTGCTCGCACAGATGTTGACGCCTGTGTAATGTGCTGCACAGCGTGTCCTACCTTAATCACACATCACGTCTCTGGTTCTGATTCTTCAGGGCGACTGACCACAGTGGAGTGCGATCGCCACGCAGGCGGGATTCCTCTGATCCGGCCAGCCGGTTTTGCCTCAATACGACGTGGACTGTGCTATATGTGCTGTAATATGCTATGGCCACTGCCGACGCACTGCATAGTGACGAATGCAGGCGCCGAGACACTCGCGTATTGATCCCTGTCGGAACTGATGCTCCTGTGCGGACCTATGCCGCATGCGGAATTTGTTCATGTTTTCTATCATGCAACGAGTGCCAAAATATCTCCCGAAGACATGAGCCCCGGCCAGACTAGAGAAAATAGCATGGTGACACCACTACTAGTGACCGCAGCTCTTGGGAGATATCAGCCGATGCCTAATCGAGAGCTCTCAAGGAGACAGCCAAGCACCGGACGACGAATCCCAGGATGATCCCTATTAAGCCGTCTCATTTGGCCCCAATTTGACCGTTTTGATGGAGAATTACACCGAACTCATCGACCTCCTTCGAAGTTGAAGGGCCTAACAGCTCGCTAGCAACCTTGGTCCACAAGCCTTGGTCCACAAGGCGTTGAAAATACGCGCGAGAAATCAAAGAATTATTGTGACAGGTAATATGCGGCGAGAGACTACGAACAAGCCAGAGCAGGCAATTGGTGCTACGGGGCGGAGGACTACCGGGATGTTGCCCAGCTTGCCTCGTGGTATTGAAGAGTTTCTGTCTGTCATCCTCTCAAAACCCAGTCTATCACTTGTCCCCCCGACATCAGTCCACAGTTTACTTCCAGCCCTTGGATGATCGCGTTACCTTTTCGGTTATCCGTCACGTTTGATGTATACGTCGATTCCCCTCTCCCAACCTTTTTGAGAATGATCCAGCAGCAGTCAAGGGGAGGGTTCCATCACACATATGGGTATTGAGCATTTCAAAGCAAAAAACGGCTAGTAGAAACATTTCTTTTTCCCCAGTTTTCGAACCACCATTACCACGTTGCTCAGGGGCTTGGAGGCTGTTTGACAGGCAGTTGAAATGCATGGCCCAGGGGTCAGGGTACGAATGTCGGCACTTCTTTCTGGTGAATGTTGGTACCTGCAGAATTAAATCGACCCAGCCGCCCTTCCGTTAGGAACATTAGCGGGAATGGGCCTTTCCCCCGGGTCGACAAGAGACTAGAGAAGCGAGTTGATCCGACCTCTTGTTCCTCTTGGTTGGGACCTCTTATTCCGGCGCATCCCTACTACGAAGAAGACTTCATTTCCATTTGATCCTGACCGACTCCAAATAAAATCCGACACACTTAGCTGGACCCAGGAAGGGGGCACGAACGCCGTACCAGCCAAGCCGAAATGTCGACCGCCGATGCCCCTTCACCACTGCCAGGCCTTCCTGGCTACGACTCCCAGAATATCCAGCCATGGACTATCGAAGTTGTCGTTTCTATGACTGTTCTTGCGCTGGTGTCCGTCGCTCTCCGTCTTTACAGTCGCCATCTTAAGGCACAAAAGTTATGGTGGGACGACTATCTTATCATCTGGTCGATGGTGCGTACAGATTTTAAGCATCTACTCCTTTGGAGATTTGGTTTTTGCCCTGGGACGAAACTGACGGTACCACAGCTATGGAATCTTGCGGTCGTTGGCTTCATCTTTGCCATGCATTCGGCGGTAAGCAGAAGATGGATATCATCACTTGATATATCAATATTGACCTTCCACAGGGCATGGGCATTCACGCAGACAAGGTTGAGATGAACAACATTGTCTTGATGGCCAAGTTCCTTGTCGTGGCGGAGATTCTCTATGCTTGGAATCTTGGCTGGACGAAGTTGAGCTTGTTGATGATGTACTATCGCATCTTCCACATCCCGTTTTTCAAAAAGATGATTTGGGCCGTCGGCATCTTCGTATTTTCCTGGGTTATTTGCATCACCTTCCTCTTCATCTTCATTTGCGTTCCTGTCGAGAAGCTGTGGTACCCCGACATCCCTGGTCGCTGCATCAACCAGGTCGCTACATGGATCGCGAACGCCGCCTCGACTATCTTTACCGATCTTCTCATTCTGCTTCTCCCGATCCCCCAAGTTTGGAAATTGCAACTGCAAAAGGCTGAGAAGATTGCCTTGACATTCGCTTTTGGTCTTGGTTTCTTGTAGGGTCCCTTATTTTTCCCACTCAGCGAAAGGCTTTCAAGCAAGATCTGATTCTAACATGCTTTTTAGCGTTGTCTTTACCTCGGCCTACCGAACCAGTGTACTCTTTACATACAACGGCCAGGACCCGACATATACACTCGCGCCGACTGTCGGCTGGACAGCCATCGAAATGTCTGCCGGTATCGTCTCGGCATGCCTGCCAACACACCGTCCAGCCATACAACGCGTTGCCCGCCTCTGCGGTATCAAGGGCAGCATGGGTGGCATGTTCCGCGCCCCGACTGCACTAGGTTTCGGTTCCAAGAGCAACAAGTCCAACTTTAGCAACGGAATGTCCTCGCAGGACCCAAACGGCACGCAGGTCGCTCGCAGCCTCTCGACGACAAAGCATGGCGCGGGAAACGAGGCCTTTTATCGCCTGCCTGATGACAACGGCTCGGACGGAACACGTCGCCAGAACACCCCTCCGGCGAATGACCCAAAACTGAGGCCTGACATGGGCGGACGCGAATTTGAATACACCGTTTCGAGCTACCCTGCGAAGCCGGACGACAAGAGCGAAGACGAGATTCCTCTTCACTCTATTCGTGTCCAGAAAGATTTTAAGCAGACGACATCATGATGATACTACTTCACTTGGAAGTTCTTCGATGGTTTTATATTCGTTAAAAAGGCCTATATACCCAACAGGTGCAACTCACCGACAGCTAAGTGCCTATCATGGTCTATTACAGCTGGTAGTCCGCCCGCCGCACCCGACTGTTGGATAGAATACTATGTTTTGTCTGTTCTTGGGTAAACAAACAAACTACAACCGAAATATATAATTACTGGGTTACTTTTTAGACACAGCAATACAGGCGCAGGAAGGAAATTCTGGAAAAGTTCATCCGGCCGGTGATGACTGGTTAGGAAATGATCAATCAAGCATGCAACTACAGCGGCAGTACTAGATTTTATAATGTCAAAGCTAAATGAAACGAATGAAATAATGTCAGGAAAGCTTACGTCTTATAACCAAAGGAATTATTGATGATAATGCCTGTTGAATTCGGGCAGAGCCTGGCCATTGACTGTTAACCCCCTCCCCCCGTGACTTCCCAGCTGCATTGATCACCCACTTCGTAATATGAGATAGTTGCTGGTACATCAATCGTGGTCGGGTCAGATGTGTAACCATGTACCTATTGATGAGGTATATGGTGGAACGAGGTAGGAAAGACTGTTTTAAGAATGATTACGAAAACCACATAATATCATACTAAAACTGCCAATCGCTTCGTGCAATCCCCATCTCGGGTCTGCGGGAGTGACTCACCACCTACAACTGATCTCCGAGCGCTTTAATGAAGCCTCTCGTAGTGATCAGTCCTAAGGGGGACAAGCCTCCATGTTTACGTCCTCAAATTGGGTTCGATACGCCCTGTTTGTTCGGTGGTAAAGGGACCTTTGTAGGGGACTTGCACGAATATTCTGATATGTCACGCGTAGGCTTGTTTCCACCGTGTGGTAACTCTTGTAACTTTTCTATTCCCGTCTGGCATAATGGCTCTATGGTGGACGTCTTGCGCCTTTTTATGAGCGCCCTTAACTACCCGTTGAGCCCTCTTCCTAATCCATCTACGTAACCAAAATAACGAAGGGGTAACACTAACCTCTGCCCGGTTCCAATAACTAGTTGGAAAGAGTCTTAGCTGGCTTCTACGTGGCTAGTGCCCCTCATGCGTAAATGCATGTTGCCATGTAGCAATCGAGGGATAAAGTCAACTTAAGACCCTGGCAGCAGATTGGCAACATAGAATTACTCTGAAACCTGTGAATTCGGTCTCATGTATCCTTAGTCGAGTATTTTCGTCACCCCCGGTTTCTATTGCATACCTAGACCGCAAGTAAATACTGAGTGTAATTCGCTCACAAGCTGGCGCCAATGGGAAACATCGGAGTGACTAGTAATAAGTGCATTATGGTATGAGATATCTGCGTGTATTATTTGACATCTGCTAACGTGACATTCTCGATATAGAATCTTTCGACGAAAACCCTCACAAAACTTGGTTACAAGGTTACAATGGCAGACGTTAACACTGTAGACTTAGTCTGGAATTACCAAGTCCATGTGAAGTAAACCTTTTTCAAACAAACAAGGGCACCACCAATCACTTGATCAAAGTATATGTTGTAATGGACGAAATTCCGGAGTGAAGTGGCTCCGTGACTGCCCATGCTACCATCTGCTGACTACTCAGACTTTATATTGGTAGACGAAATCAATTACCCACATGACGGTCAATTGAAAGGGATATATCAGTTCCACTCGTTTCATTATACCCCTCTACCAATTTTGTTCCATATACAATATGATTTCACAACACTTTGAAAAGAATACCATTCATTCACCCGGTAGACACATTCTGTGATATCAATAGCGTCCAGATATCATTACTCGGAGAGTCAATTCCGTCCATGTCTCAATAGATCGTCAATCGTGCTTGCTTTTGTCAATTTAGTTCTTCTATGTCTGTTCTTGTTTAACGTTTGCTTCCAAATAGTGAATAATCAACACAAACGTAGCGTTTGCTGATAATGCGTCGATATTTTGGCCTTGTGAGGTAGCTGTTAGAAAGAAAGAATTGCGACTGGCTAATCAACTGTTTCAAAGTGTTGAGCTAACGAGGGTTTTGGTATGAATGGAACAAATAGAAAGAGACACATCAACTCCGGCGATAATAGTACTGTTCCTAAGTCAAGTAAAAGTGAGGGTTCGAAGTGAAAAGCAGAGATGAGCCTCCCAGGTTGACTGCCACTCGGGAAAAGGACATTGCTGAGTGGCTACCTCACATGTGGGCATCTGGCTGGGGGCCGGTCGAGCGGCGACACAGGTTTAAATTCTGACATTGCTGGTACGGGACATGCCACGGATGATATGGCGTAAGCCTTACCTGTGCATTATCCCTAATTAAGTGCAGTCAAACAACAAGTGAGTGAGTTGTTGTTACGTATCCTCTTGCGTTTAGCTCGATTGGGTGGCACCTCTGGTTTTACAAGTGCTAGAGGCTGGTTTGCGGCTGCCTCTCCTGACCCCTCACAATTGCAACAATAAGCTGAGAACTGATAGCATCTTTTTGCCGGGGATCTTCGCCAACTTGGTCAATGGAGTTGGACGGTTACGTAAAAGTTAGTGCCGAGCATGCTAGTGCTGGGCTTCTCATGAAATATCTCATTTTGATAGTGACAGCAAGGAAGTTGGACGTTGAAGTCAACACCTAGCTTAAATAAAACATGCAAGGACTCTTTGTTGAAATCCCTGAATCAACTACTCAGTTTCCTTAAAGAGCATAAACTCCGAAACAAAGCCAGAGCAAACACCCGACTTCTTCACCGTTGCAATAAAGCCCTGAGTTGAACGTAGTTGGTTACAGCGGGGCCTGACGAGTTTGCTGTTTTCTGACATTTTAGCATCAAGTGGATTGGCTACTGAAAACATCCGGGGTACCACTCGGCGACAAGCATTTGGCGCCGTTGTGGTCCAACAGTAGCAAGTGAAAGACTATAATCCTGGTTCCAACAACCAACAGCAAGACCGGGGTCTATCGTTCCTTACCAACACGAACATCTGTCTGTCGGTTAGACCAACGTCTCCACTATGGATTTTCTCAAGCCCCAGAAACAAACTTGTTGGAACACCCCCTGCCAACAAGCTTGTCATCACAACACATGAACCCGGAGCTACCTCCGAACCATACAAGCAGGCATTTTCTTCAGTCAATGGAACATGACATGTAGGTTTATTCCATATCCAATACTTTCTCCGAAAGAATAAGACCCTAATTCTTGGCATTTGACATCTCCTGCAATGCCAGCATCCAATGCAGACTCTCATGGGACTAGCCACATACGGTCTGTCCGATAATGAAGACCTGGCTGGCCCCACAAGAGAGAACGTGAGGATATCATGTTAACGTATGTTGTTTGCATGCAATGCAGGAGTTTGCCCCAACGCTCCTGAAATTGTTGGCGACAACCTGCACCTTGTGTACCGCATAGTTTCCAGAGGAGTGTGCAGTACAAGTGAAAGAATACCAGAAAATGACAAAGATTTGCACAATCAACTTTAAAAATAAAAGATCTATCTTAATCAGAAACTTCAATTTGGTATCATGCTGTTGTAACTTGATTCCTGTGACCAAAAGCAGATAACCACCGTTTGTCATGATATGTTCCAACTCCCAAAAAATTCCATTGCAGCAGGCCGTTATTCCCATAAATCCTGAGATTTCAAATCATTCGATAGACTCAGGGCTTGTTTCATTGCACCGCAAATTTCATCAAAACCAGGCGATCAAGGCATGGAAGGCAGCGGCATAATTCGGGTTTCCCGAACTCGAGCGCCCTCCGTGCCAAGGTAGCGACCGCTTTCATAGCTAGAATCTGTGTTAGCATGCAACAAGAATGTGCAGATGATTGATGCGTACCTCCAATGCAGGTTGCCCAGGGCAACGTTGCGGCAGCCGTCAAGGTACCTGAGGACTTCCTTGTCGACCTTCTCGCCCCAGACCGGCATCCTCACCAACGCGCCATACCACGTCTTGTAACATTCATCAACCATGTCGCCAATCTTGTCTACAGCTTCTTGGGTGGTGTGGCCTTGTGCCTTCAGAAGCGAGATTAGGTTGTGATCAACTCCTTGTTCCTAGTGACGCCTTCCGTTAGCTTTGCGAAAATTAAGGCATGGTTTTGGGCCATACCAAGTCTTTACGGTATGATAAGATGTCGTTAACGCTATATGATGTTTAGTAACTAATTGATGCTTGTGCAAGACTTGTCTGAACTCACAGAATGACGAGATCAGACGCAGTACGCATGCACGTTTGAACGGATTCGTGATCGATTTGCTCTTGCGATATGCTGATTCCATGCGCGTATCTATAGGAACCGAATCAGTAACAATGCAAAACTGATTCAGAATTGGGTGACGAAGACTTACTCTACTAGAGCGTAGCATGGCTCGCAGGCAATCGTTGCTCTTCGGAAGTCCATGTACTCATCAACTGTTAGGCTCAAGGCCTTTTGCGAATGTTGAACTTTGACTTGGCCTATTAAGCCCTCAAAGTACCCTTTCATAGACGCCTTGTAACGTGTTTGAAGCTCTAAAATCCAATTATTAGAACTGCAGCATGCGCAATGGAATAGACCGTACCTGGTGAAGACCTCTTGGGGATTGTTAGCAGCTTGGACTTGAATTTCTCAGAAACTGTGGTGATCTTCATCACTTACCCTCTTGAATCGATCCCAAGTGGTTTGAAAGACATGCCTGATGGGGTTGTCGCCAGGTTGAACCGGAGGGTTCTTATCTTCTAGGATGGCGTAAGTAGCATCAAGCTCTTTCTGAGCCTTGACAGGATCGTCCTTTAGATGGCCCTCGTCGAATTCTGTCCACGTTTAGTTAGTTGTCTAATACATGTGGTGGCATCTACATACGATCGTCAAAAGCAAAGACCTAGTTTGGACTTCTGTTAGTCATTGCCTAAACTTGAGGTATTAACATGTCGGAGGACTCACCCAGTTGTGCCAGTCGAGCATCATCCGAAAAGCCTCTTCATCAGCGTATGGAACCCAGATTGCGTTCATGAAGGCAAAATTGGCCTTGGAGTGTTTTTTGGCCTGGGCATCCGTGAGATGGTAGATTCTGCCACTTGTTAGCGATGTACATAACCACCATCGACGCTAAGAAAGACGCACTCTTTGATCCAATCATTTGCCTCAACCTTAAGCTTTCGCCAGTTGACATTCATGACAGGGTCCACGGACATGATGGACGAGAAACAGTCCGGGATGCGGACATAGTCGCCATTGGCCGCCATGGTGTCATTGAGTTCGTGATTATCAGATGCACTTCCATGATCAGAAGTTGAAGTCTGGAATGAGTCTGCCTGGGACTCAGAAACTGGGGTAGCTGGCGGCGACGAAGACTCTGAGATGCTAATGTCCGACGACGCGGTAGTTGACAATGTTCTTTCAAGCATGATCCTTTTCGAGGGGACCACATCATTAGGCGAGGGGCCCATGTCTGTGGAGGTCCTCTTCGAAGAGACCTTGTGCCTGTTCGCCGAGCTCATGGTTTTGAGAGTTGAATTGAGTTTTGGAATGAGATGAGGAATTTTTGGAAACACCTAGAAGAGGGAATAGAGATGCGATTGACATTGATCTTCACTTGACTGGGTTTTCTTTTTAAGAGCTGCTGCTTGGTTTATTTATCATCGCATGCAAGAGCTGCCGCATCCGTCGGCTCACAGGTACGAGACCGGGCCGGAGCCACAAGTACAGCTTCATCCACCAACATCTCATGTTGCCGGTCCTCTAACGCCGAGACGACCAATCCCTCGGCCAAATTCTCCAAATGTGGTCTTGTATAAAGCAAACCAGCGCTCTAGCCGTTGGCAAATAGAACTCCGCTTCGAACGATATGCAGCCCCCATGAACAGTGGCGCTTCAAGCGCGCAGCGAAGATCGTTGTCTTGACTCGCCGTTCTGTGGTTCGGACAATAAAAGCCTCCCTCTCTATCACAGGTGACGAAACCTTCGCAGGATCAAGTGGGCCTTTACCCAGTCCTCCTGAGCCTCCTGGCTAGTCACAAGGGCAAGCGAACAAGGAGGTTTGGACACATCAGCGAAAGACATGGATGGCCTGTCGAGAGGCACATCAAAAGTTATTACTTCCACACTCGAACAACTTGAGATGATGTTGATCTACACGTACGTACAAAGCCAAGTCTAGATCTAGGTCGTTATGGTAAGCGTTTCTGCAATGCCAACCCTTTGCATGCGAACTTGCGGTTTTTTTTTCGCTCAACCAAACCCACAAACGGCTTCCAAATGCATCGGCCTGCAGCTGAATTCGATCGAAAAAGTTCGTCACAAACCCTAAGGCACATCATGTGACTGCGTCGCGGCAGTTGAGAACGCCTCGGAGCCATTGGTCCAAGGTGTGTATGGATGGCCAAATGTGCCGTCCAGGATGCCCCTCTCTCTCGGGGCCACCGGCCACTGGCAGTGTGAACTAGGTCTGTCTTCGGCGACAGCTCCATAAATGCATGATGACCCCTTGTGCCCGTCGGGGAAATTGATGTAACCCCATTATCACCGGCCTCAGGAACTGATCGAAGCCCTCTACGGAATACGAGAGGCCAAGTGAGCAATTACTGCGCCAAACACCTCTACTACGGACATCTTTCAAACACTCTCATGCGGAAATCCTACAAACCACACATCATTGAAATTGGAATTGGCAGCCTTGTTGATGGTCTTGGGTTTCCAGTCAGCCGGGTGTGTGTGTGCTAGGAAAATCCTAGCATGCAAAGCGAAATGGAGCTTGGCCAATCGTCCCGAGCCGTACTAACGGCTGTGCCACTTGTTCGCAGGACACAGTCCACTTTTGCCGGAGTTCATCCCGTGGGTTTTCACTGCTTAGTAGTGCGGCAGTTGCAGCCTATGAGAAAGCTACTATATGAGATGGGAAGAATCGGCGTTTGGGAGGGTCTGGTAACTGGAAGAAAAGTCTGTAGACTCCTCCAGAATACCCAGTCTGTGCCAGCATGCCAAGTGGAATCCCGGCAAATGTGTAAGCCTCGTGGCCCTTGGGTTTGCACTAGGAGGGGGGTTGAATCCACATGCCAGGGGTTGTCACATCGCATCACGCAAAGGCGGGCCAATGAAACATCATCTTACAAGTTGGAGAAGGCGTTCGATGCTCTCATGCATTGTTTTCCGAAGCCTCGCATGCACGTTGGCGGGCACCATTGCTGAAGAATCTCAGGGGGAACGCTGGAAGTGGAGTGAACCACCAACTGACCATCAGACGATGCTGCATATGTAGTACTATGAACGACGGCAGTGGGGCCATTACCACAGAGGAAGATGAACAATCCGCTCAGAAGGAGGCATGACCTTGCCATTGCACGCTCTGTTTCAGTGGCATCTCATGTAGAGAATGCCTTAGCAGTACTTTCGGTAAATTAGCTGTATCCAAGCAGCCGGTACTCAGCGGGTAGGTAGATGAACCACTATCGTCTTTCAATAGCAACTGAAATCAACATACAATCATGGTTGCTCTTTGGAAACAAGGAGGCGGATACCCGGCAGCTAGAATACCTAATACCGCTGTCGGCAATTTGCTTATGTTGCTAACAATCGAACGATGAACCCAGCCTCTACCCTTAGCCAAACAGAGTCAAAACAACGCCCTGGTTTCCGTTGCTTGCTCTCCACGGCTTAGAAAACCCTTGAAGCCCCACGTTAATTTAGCGGTGAGAGCCACAACGACATGGACTATTGTATCTTACGGGGTTCCGCAGATGTCCTGCATATATATCGTTGCGTCACGGGCCTAATGAAGTAGTTGATCGACCATTGGCCCGATCGAGACGCCATTGCCGCTGGCTTGCCGAACATGGCCGGTTGAAAACTTCTAAGTTTGGCGATACAATCGCGCCGACACCACGACACGTGTATGGAAGCCATAAGTCAAGCGAAATTCGCAATTTTCCCATTGGTGCTGCCGTTCTTCCGTTTCATATGAATACTTCATCTCTTTCTTCTTCCCCACGGCGCCCGCGGAACCTCTCTGGTTAAGATCATTCCAAACGAAGATGTCCTTGAAGCTCCTGGGTCAGCACGACCTCCTGAGCGAGGCCCCCCGACTTCTCGCCGGGGGGGCCGTCCTGTATGTCATCGGGCTGGTGATTTACAGGCTCTTGTTCCACCCCCTCAGAAATATCCCTGGGCCGTGGTACGCTGCGGCCACCTACTGGTACGAGTTCTACCAGGATGTCATCCTTGATGGCCACTACATCAAGGATTACCCCAAACTTCACGCTAAGTATGGTGAGTCGAGATCTCAATGCCCAGTCACTGCAACACCACGTACTGATCTTTCGATGTAGGGCCTGTAGTTCGAGTCTCGCCCAGTAGGGTGCACGTCAATGACCCAGAGTACTTCAAGGAGTAAGTCTAAGTTTTTGTGGTCTTGCTCAAAGTGATTGTAGCTGACATGGGTTCCTCAGAGTTTACGGTCTGGGCACCAAGTACACCAAGGACCCTGACTTCTTTCAGAGCGGAGGCGGTATCAAATACTCCATCATCATGCTGATTGACCCAGAGGCGCACAAGCAGCGGAGGAGTACAGTCAAGTCGCTCTTCTCGCCTAAGCAAATGGATCAATTAGCTCCTGTAGTTCTGGATGTTGTTAAGAGAGGCATGGCAAGGGCACAGAGGTCGTTTGAGCGGGGCGAACCCCTAAGCATGCAACCTCTGTGGCAGTCTGTAACCGTATGTTGCTCACCTGAAATGCTGATAAGAGCCATCAGCTTAATGACGCTATAGTGCTAACTAACCGTGTAACTAGGTTGACACGATAATGCCTGTGCTTTTCGATAGGCACATGAACTTGGTTGATTCTGACGAGGAAATCCCACCGTTTCTGGACATTATGCACAAGTTTGCGGAAAACTTCCTCATCACTAAGCATTTTCCCTTTCTCATACATCTAGCCATGAGCATACCCATGAGTATAGCACAGAAAGTTTTGCCAGGATATGCTCAGTTCCGACAAGTAAGCTGCAGCTGAGACAATCTCTGAGCTTTAAGAGGCATATTTTTGGCTAACCTTGACTTTAGCAATGTGCTGAGTGGATTCAAGAAATTGAAGACAAACAGATAAATGGCAATGACACCGCCGCCGATGGTCGCAGCACTTATTTCGACCTCCTTCTCAGCACGCGGAATACCAAAATGTACCACAAGCTGAGTAGGGACGCGCTGGTCGATGAAGCCTTGGCCTTGTGTTTTGCCGGCACCGATACAACGAGCTTCGCCCTGACCTTTGGAACATACTATCTTTTAAGGAACGAAGACAAGCTTGCAAAGATGCTGGAAGAACTCAAAAATGTGCCAACCAATGCTGAGGGTCTTTATGAATACCGCGACGTCTGCAAGTTGCCATATTTGGTAAGAGGTTCCAAGTCTGACTATTGTCCACGTAAAACTTACCATCCTTTTGTGCAGACTGCAGTCATTAAAGAGATCCTTCGTCTCTCCTCTCCAGTGCCTGGAATTATTCCCAGGAGGGTTCCTGCTGGTGGCGCTACTGTTGCTGGTCATTATCTTCCTGAAGGGGTGCGTGATCTCTGAAACCCTTGTCGCCTGCATTTTGCTGACTTAACATCTTCAACAGACTACAGTTTCACAGGCGCTCCGCAGCATTCATGATAACGCGTCTCTGTTCCCAGAGCCTGAGAAGTTCATTCCTGAGCGATGGCTGGGCGAGGATGGATGGGCGCTGGAGAAGTATTTCGTGCCTTTCAGCAAAGGGCCGCGTTCTTGCCTGGGTATGAAGTAAGTTTTGTCACCCAACGTCTTGATCAGTAGTAGAAGACTAACAACTCAAAGCGTCGCTTATGTCGAAATGTATCTCAGCATCGCAAACTTTTTCAGCCGTTTTAACATGTCTTTGTACAAAACGGATGAAACTACCGCTATATGGATAGACAGTGCCGCCGCCAGAATCTGGAAACCTATCAGGGTCAAGATCAATTCAGTGAATGGGGAAACATCATAAGATCTGATGATTTTTAGGAGGCTATTTTTGATTTATTAGCAAGCATGGCGTTCTAAGGGGTTTGATTTGGGGCATTACAATTGTTGAGGCAGACGGGGAGGTGACATGAAAGTAAACTTGATGTACAACTAGGTCCGCCGATGTTGCCTAAAGGCAGCTATCCCGTAGCAGTTATTTTGGCAAACTTGAATCCTCTACCTCTGGCTGTTGTGTGCAGAAAACATTGACAAACCAAAAACAAGGGCTGGGTCATTGGGTGTTGTTCTCTCATGGGTGTAGAGGCCATTAAAAGACAAGATGATGATAAAGTGACTGGTTTGGTCGATTAATATAGAAGACATGGTGATCGATAATAACTGGCCTGGTCAACAGGCACGAAGCTTTCAAGGCACTTGTAACGTTTTTGAAGCCCATTGAAAAGTGCATGATGATAGTGTCTAAATATTTATTCGTGATGGAATTGGCTTGCCAATGAAGCTCGAAAATGAAATCGTTTGGGCAATAACGTCCCGCACCCACATTTGGGCACCCCCCACATTTGGGCACCCCAAAAATCGCTCAACACCATGACTACCCCTCAACTTCAATTATTTACCACTTTTTCAACTTTTCACTAATTACAATCCAACTTCATATGCTTATTATTTATACCTATATGCGCCAATATACCGAAGATGACTTGCTCAAGGCACTTGAGGCTGTTACCAGCGGCTGCAGTATAAAAAAAGCAGCTCATGATAAGGGCATACCACGAACTACACTACAAAACAGAATAAGAGGTCACCAAACAAGAGGTGTTGCTTTCGCTGGGTTACAGAGGCTATCACCAACCCAGGAAAGTCACTTGGCTGAATGGATTCGAATACAAGCTGCCCTAGGCCTTCCACCAACCCATCAACAGCTCAAGGATTTTGCTGAGAGGATTCTACAGACACGTAGAGACTTCCAGCCTCTCGGAAGAAACTGGGTTCAATCATTTATCAAGAGAAATCCATCAATCAAGGTTCAGAGAAGCAGAGCAATTGATTCCCAGCGTGTCAATGGTGCCTCAACTAATGTAATCAGGGAATGGTTTAAGCATCTCGCTCTACCTGAGATACAGGCAATCAAAGCAAGCAATCGATACAATATGGATGAAACAGGTATTCTAGAAGGCAGAGGATCAAATGGATTAGTTCTTGGATCATCAGAAACTCGCTCTATTCGAAAGAAACAGCCTGGGTCTCGGGCTTGGACATCTCTGATTGAGTGTATCTCTGCAACTGGCAAGGCACTGCCTCCACTTGTGATATATAAGGGGAAGACTGTTCAACAGCAGTGGTTTCCTCTCGATTTAACTGAATATGATGGCTGGAAGTTTACAGCAACAGAAAATGGCTGGACGTCGGATTCTACTGCTGTTGAATGGCTACAGAAGGTCTTCATACCATTGACCCAACCCCAAGACCCTAAAGAGTCTAGATTACTCATTCTTGATGGGCATGGTAGCCATGAAACAACAGAATTCATGTATATCTGCTTTAAGAATAAGATACTCTTACTCTTCCTACCGCCACATACATCCCACGTTCTTCAGCCGCTTGATCAGTCAGTATTTGGGCCGCTGAAAGCCATATATAAGAAAGAGCTTCTATACCTGGATCAATGGGACGCTAGCACTGTTATAGGCAAGAGAAACTTTCTCCTCTGCTATGGAAAAGCACGCCATATAGCATTCACAAGCAAGAACATCATCAGCGGTTGGAAATATACAGGTCTATGGCCTGTAAGCATAGCCAAACCGCCGATGAGCCCTCTTCTACTTGGGAACCCATCAACACCAGCTAGACAGACCGATCAGCCTTACAAGGGACTGTCTAATGCTATAGCAGGCGAAAAATGGGCATCAGAGACATCAGCAGTATGCTGGTCAACGCCAACGAAGCGGTCTGAGCTACAGGATCAATTCAACTTATACAACAAGGTTGGGCATGATCGAAATACTCAACGACTGCTCTTTCGCAAGGTTCAAAAGGGATTTGATGAACAGAGCTATAAACTGGCTGTAGCTCAGCGAAAGATTGAGGCGCTGGAAGCAGAAGTTGAGGCATCTAGGGCTAGGAAGCGGAAGAAGGTCACAACGAGCCCAAATTCGAAGTTTGCCAACATTGAAGCTATTCGGAAGGCTCAAATTGAAGCGGGCGAAATTGAGGATAGCTCAGATGAATCCAGCAAGTCTGATTTACCTACTCTTGAGGGAAATAGTATTGTTGTGGCAATAGATTAAATATAATCAATGGCTGAAGTTGATGTATAGTGAAATGCATCATGATTTTTGGGGTGCCCAAATGTGGGTGCGGGACGTTAGAGCAACGGGAGATCCCCAGCCATCACACGGCTAAACCAGCACGGCTGCACTTAATGACAGGATCGGTAAGCCAAGGGCTACCATTTTTTTTTTTCGCTCCTTATGGAGCTAAGCAGAAAAGCGGATAGGAGGACAGTGATTGAGTGTTGCGTTTGATGCTGTAACCACGCACTCTGTAGAAGTAAAGCTTCCCGAAGGGAGACGACCCGCGTTGTGTAGTTGTGGCTGACCATATCACTGATACGTATTCGGCAAGGTTGATAAATGCTTATGCATTCTATCCAAACACATTTCGAGACAAACACTAGATTTAAGTGTTTGAAGTGACGCATGCTAAATGTACTATCAAGATGTTGAATCGAATTTTTCTGAGTGTCATTGATCCAAACTGATGCTTAGGGATTGAGAAGCTCTATTGCACAAGTGACAAGATGGAATGCAATCCTGAGTACCATCGCTCTGTCTCATTGGCATTTATTTTGCTGCCAAACTAGACATTGACATGTTCAGCTTACTAGTCCTACAACAGGAAGGAGTCAGTAACAACTTGCCGATGGCATGGGCCGGGGGGAATTGACCAGCGGTGCCACGTTACTGACGTTGACACGTTACTCGTGACCCCTCATCACGATCCAAGGCATCATTTTGCTATGTATTGCATTTTTGACAGTCTATTTCTATGTTTTACTCATCAAACATGTTTCCATGGCTGCTATACTCCAACTAGGACGAAACATGCCAATCGAAAACTTGCCCTTGTCGGTTCCAGGCAATATCCCTGATTTTCTATCCAGTGGTCATGTCTACATAGTATTAGTTGCGTTTACACTTTCAGCCTAACTACTTATAAGTCTTGAGACAACTGGAATGTTTTCTCTGGAAGTCCCAACACTCTGTGATATCAATCGTATCGTTGATTCCACTTTAGCCCTTACGGAACACTCTGTCTGCCGGTGGAGAATTTTACAAGGAGAAATCGTGCACTTCTGAGTTGAGCATTTTGACTGATTGACTTCTGGAGAAATGAGTAAGTAAACACTGACTTTGATATTACTGACGGATTTGCGACCTTTTCGACCGACAATTACTATCCTTACCACCTATCCAGTTCCGACCCGCCAAGTCTTAAAAATCCATCCACCGTCGGCAAACCGTTCATCAGCAGCAGTCTACACAACATCAACAGTTTACCGCAATCCAGCCTTCCCAATCCCAGCCTGACATCCCTCGTCAGTCTGTCGTGCATCAGCAACTTGGCCATTCAGAGCCATATGTGCGGTATCCCCTGGTTCGACACCAACAGATTCTATCAACAGCCCAGACGGGATTGGACGCCTCTGCCGCTGCATCTGCAAAGAAGGTTGCCCCTTAGGCCGTTTAATTCCCAAACGAGTGTAATCTCCCTCATCTGCTTAAGATTTACTACGGTATAGTCATGAGGGATACGATGCCTTATTTCTTTTCATCCTTTGGCGAGATGGCTGGTAGATTTCTTCTTCCTACCTATGTCAACCATATAAACACTGACTGATAAGCCTAATGTAAGAGACGAGGGCGCCTTAGGGGCCTGTGTAAGGGGAAACGGATGCCGTGAGGCCACTGAGTGGCCCTGGCTCGATAGCCTGGTTGTTTATCAACGCCCAATAAAGAGGCTAATATATTGCACTATAGGTAGGTTTGGGACCAGTGAAACAAACATCTACGCCCCCGAACTGCCCTTTTCTGAATGCCCATCAATCGCCATAATCTCTCGTGGGGATCATTCAAGTAGATGTTGATTATAGCTTAAGAAGCGAGCAGTTATTCAGGTATCATTACTGTTTGGATCTCAATCTAGATTCATATCTCAAGCCGTAGTCAAACACTCAGTTTGCAGTCAATATCAAATGTTGCTCGAACAAGTCTTCATGTCCCCACGATGCCGCGAACATATGACTGCAGGAAAACAGTAAGAGCGACAACAAAGATTCCCTCAATCAGTGCCATACCTTATCATGTCTGCAGATCGCCATTGAGGTATAGTGACTCCCAAGAGTACTGTATCTTACAGCCACCGGAGTTGCTAGTCAGAGACCTGCACGTTCATGAATAACAAATACGAGAGCTACGTTTCAATTGGTGAGAACTGCCATGTTTGTGAGCATCTTTCAGACAAGATCGTAATAATGATCACCAAGAAGAATGTGCTACCGAGGTCAACCCTAAGAAAGATTTTCAACAAAACAACCGGAAATTCCAACAATTTGATGGAGATTCTTCCTATATAGTTGCTGATGAGATACATGGACCGCTACAGAGTCTCGGAGAATTGCTGTGACTCTTATTCTTTAAAAATGAGCCGTTATAGTGTCGATCCTCGAGCGAAGACTTACAAATGCAGCATGAGCGGGAATGTCTTTTTCTGAGACGAATGAGATGTTACATGTGCTGCTTCAAATGGAAGACCTCGATTTGGCCCTAGAAGCGAGACAGGCGACATTCTATCTTGCTATAAACTCCACCATTGAGTACGATGACGTGAAAGAATTCATCCCGGTCTTCCTTGAGGACGACAAGCAAACCAAACCGCCCTAGAAGAATTGAAAGCAACAGAGTAGGACAACAGAGCTGGAAAGCTAGCTAAGGGCCACGACACCCTGCCAAGTAAGTCTGCACAATGAAACGATGCTCTATTACGGGATTTCATGAACACTCCATGGCCTCCTCGAGTAGAACGTCACGGTCGGGGAAAGGCATACTAATTGCTGGCCTTCTCTGACCTAGTTTGGCCGCATAGTATGTATACCACGGGAACGTTAATCCAACGCGGCGGTTGATACCACGATGAGTGGCATTCCGTTTTCTATGTCATATGTGATAAGGTATTATGAGGCATAGGCTTGATATGCCACCCCTAAGAAAGGCGTGCCACATAGGGTGGGTGGACTGAACATTTGAAATGACAGTTGGTATCGGAAGCGAAATCTGTGTCAATGTGTGTTGACATGGATCGCAGATCCCTTTGCTATAAAATCTTTGCGTTTGGTTTTTCCTGTGATGGTTATGGGTCAGAGGTGGACGGACGGTAGAATTTTGTCATGAGAGCGGAGACTGAGGGTCGCCGCCATTTGCATTGCTTTTCTTTGAAGAAGCGGCTTCGGCCGAGTCCATGGATGATTTTGGTCGTCATATCAAGCTAGAGGTCACTCAGGTTCGTTGAAACCCCAAGGCTACTACTCCAGGGACAGGGTAGTCATAAAATAAAGTAGGCTGCGGAGAGCATGACCTTGCCAAGTTGTGATGCCACGTCGACGATTTAGTGATGATGCCTGTCTGAAATGGATAAAAAAACCAGCAAAAGATCATACCAGCGGCGCATTTCGCCATCTCGCAACACGTGGTTGTAATTACGACCGGGTTTGTTTGACTTGTGGAGAGAAGGTCATGGTAAGGCCAGAATGAGGCTCGGGCATGAGACTTGAATGAGTCGTCGCATTATGCTGAAGGATCAAGGTGGATGATTCAATCACCGAGGAGGTTTGCATGTGTGGATGCTGCCCGAGAGGATTCGAAAGTGGAAGTGGACAATAACAATCAAGAGCGACGAGGATAGACCGTGCAATCGGTCAAAATATGACGACTTCATCACCGGCGAGGCCGGGTACACAACAACTCTCGCCAAAGGCCGCCGTGACGGATTTGACGGGCAGAAGACATACTGTGCGCACTGTTTTTAGCTTTTACATCTTGCACAACAGAGGGTGTGCATTTGAGTTATGAAATGGCTGGGGGAGCTCAAGGACTGTTGGATTCTGCCAATATTGCCTTGGAGCTTCCCCTGTCAATTGGACCCTCAGAGGGGCAACCAGGAGCTCGTTTGCTGGGCGACTTAACCGAAAGTGAAAGATGAATGCTACCACTATGTAGTATATAGTATGTACTATTGTGTAGAGGACCCTCTTGATGGCAAATCCCGCCGTATCCGTAATGGCTCACCTGAAGAGACTTTCCCTCATTGGGTTGCAATTTCGGTGGAGAAGACCCAAGTTGGGCCCCTGACGACTTTTATGTAATGTGGCATGGGGATGGGTCCTCACTCTCATTTTTTTTTTCTCTTCTCTTTTCTTCATCTTATTCTTTTTCTGACTGAGCAACGAGAAGGACAGATCCGTCATAACGTTGGTGCAGTGATTGTGAACGAATCGGCATAGAAGCCACCAATGAAACAGTGGGGGTTCTAGAAGTTCTGCAGCCAGGGTTGGGGTGCAACAATGCCAGGGGTCTCTTGGTGTCTGTATGCAGTTTATTACCAGACCACTGGAAAACAAGCCATAATCCGGGGGGGTGTCAGTCTTGCTGTGCATCGCGTGACAATTGTGAAGGTCGGTGAAGCATATTTCTCAACCCAAACTCTGTTCCCTTCCCCCTCCACTCCCAAATGTGCAAAGAGTCGGTCAAGCACAACTCGTATTCTCATGCTATTTATTTTTTTTTATTCTCAGTATCTACACAAAATACGAATAACATCTTGACCCAAGGTTCTGGCATGCTCATCTGGCATATATGGGGTCAATATCGCTAACTCGTACCCAATATCCACCCAAACCCCTGACAAGAACGGGGTCATCGCAATGAAGCAGAGAGGATCGTGACCCTTATTCAGTCCTCTAACCCCGGTGACTTCCAATTAACTTGTACGGTGAGTTTGCTTTTTGACCTGACACATCCCCCTTCCCCCCCTCGCCCACCCGATGCTCCGTCCACCTTTGATCCCTACATTTCTACACTCTACTCTCATGATACTATCCCCACCATAGGAGAAGATCTCTTTAAGCTACCACGGAAGAACAAAGGTGAGACTGAATTGTCACTCATGCAGGAGCTGGGCCTGTACCGGCGTCCGCATTGGCTAGCAATGGACTTGATTAACTTACGCATGCCATAGCCACAACGGGGTCCCAGGGGCAGGGACAGAGTACAACCATAGAACAGAATTAAGGTTGGATCAGGATCGGGACAACATTTCGGGAGGACTGGAGAACCTCGGGCTTCACCACCGGAGTAGAGACCGAACGGGGTGTGACACCTTCACCGCAAGTATGGACCCCGATGCCTGCCGCAACTGCGGCAACAGCGGGAAGCACATCATCTTCCTGGACCACCGGTGCGCCATCCATGAACGCGACGACGCCGAGCGCGACAAGCTTCAGGCGGACGCCGCTCTCGAGCGCGCCCGGGAAATCTGTGAGACGTCGCTCAACCTCATGAAGCGGCAGATGCAGGAGCTCGAGGACGCCAACACAGCCATTGACACCCTCTCACGCGCCCTCGCCGCCGCTGATGAGCGTCGCGAGAGAATCCGTAGAGATCTGGGTACTCACGGCGATGTCTGCTTGACGGCACGGTCGAATTTGGAGGCTGCGGAAGAGATGGCCATCGCCGCCGCGGGCCGGTATTTCGAAGCGGGCAGGGCTGTTTCCGCGCTGGAGGAGAAGGAGCAGAGGTCCGAGCCAAGCTGGAATGTCAATGATCATGCACCGGTAGACGACGAGGGAGACGAAGAGGAGGAGAGACGCGAGGAAGACGACCGGAGGTGGCAGAGGTCCAACGAGAGGTTTTGCAAATGGCTGAGGCAATCCGAGGCGCAAAGGCAGATTATGAAGTCTTCGTGGACGAAACTGCGCGTCGCCGAGAGGTTGGCGAGCGAGAGTGTCGAAGACGAGCAGGTTGCGAGGCAGAACCGGGTTCAGGAATGGGCTGCTGCGCGGAGAAGCGATGTCCCACCCGAGGAAGAGGTAACTCTTGTCACCGAGGGAGCCGAGTCAGAGCCTGCCGCGCCGGTCACCGTACCGCCTACGCCGGCTGGTACGAGGTCCGATGTGCGGAAAACGCCGGCGGTTAGGACGCGAGGGAGGAGTGGACGCGTGGTCGCCGTGGCGGCGCCGCCTCCCCCTCCGCCTCCGCCGTCACCACCGAAAACAACCACTACGACAGGAAGACCGGCGAGAGGCGCGAGGAGGGTGGAGAGTCAGACGAGGTCCGAGCCGGCACGACCTACTACTGCCACGAGAGCGAAGCGGGAGCCTGTGACGGCGAACCAGAAAGCTGCGGCGGCGGCAAAGATGATTTCCGAAAGACCGGCTCGGACGACCAGGGCGGGACGAACGGGGAAGACACCGGCTGCGGAGGCCGCAGCTGTTGCTGCTGCTGCGAGTGCGAATTCTACCTTGACGGCGGCTGCGGGAAGGCCGCAGAGGGCAGCGAGGAGGAAATCAAGAGTGCAACCGTACCCGCAATCGCAGCCGAGATGGAAGTAAGACGAGGGATGAATGGGACGAAAAGAAGGATATGAGGACTTGATCTGTAATAAGAATAATGTATCAATGGTGCTACACTACTTAGAGATGTGTCTACTGCAGCAAGTTAGCTGGTTGACTCCCCTTACTTGGGATTTGAGAACCGAGATGGCGTTCGGGTTAGGTGAACAGATACCAAACAACAGACTGAATATTTCCATTTGTTTAACAAAAAGTTAGATGTCTCCCGAGTCAGCTTGCTCGGAAGTGGCCAGCTTGTAAGTGACCAATGCTGAAGCGGCTAAACGCTTGTAAGATGCTGATACACTAGAGGAGGACTTTTGAATGGTGGAATGTCGTCATCCCAAACCTTGATCACGACATCGACAACTTAAAAGAACCTCCACGCCGAATCTGCGCTCTTGGACATCTTGAACACGCTGAACCGTTTGCACGACAGGTACATGACCGTCAACCCAACCGCCAAATTCAGGCACCAAATCCAGAGGTTGTCGACACCCATGGCTACCTCTCCGTCTAGCGGCGAACCGCGTCCCGTATCGTGCCCGAACAAGTTGACGAGGAGACGGCCTACGACCATTATGACGAGTATGTGTACGACGAAGTAGAACAAAGCGGCTGTGCCGAATATCAGGAGCGCTTTAAACCATTTTGTTGAGAAATCGGGCGGTATGGCCGTGAAGAGTGCGAGGAGGAAGAATGTCCCAGCAAGCGTGAAGCAGAAGAAGGCGAAATCGGGCGGGTACTTGACGACGTAAAAGAACGACGCGATGGAAACCAAGTACGGGTTAGTGTCTGGATGCGCAGCCTGGTCCGGGGTCTGAAGACATCCTTCTGAGAGATTACCGAAATGAAAGAGTCGGGTAAGGATGAACAAGAGGCTGAAGACCAGACCTATCGTCACATGGCCGTAGACCTGCTTGCGAGTGGCCGCGGGGTTGGCGATCATGATGCGCGCGTATAGAACCCCCAAGATCGCAAAGGAGAGCCATCCGAGAGGCGGAAATGGGGATAATACGTGAGGGTTGAAGACCGCATAGAACCAGAAGCGCCAGAAGTCGCTGGCTGTTGGGGTGGGCGCTGGGATGCCGCAGGTTCCGTGGGTTGGAGAGAGCCAGTGATTCCACCAGATTGTGACAAAAGAGAGGACGAGGATGAGGAAGTTATGGATGTGCCATGAAAGACGGTCTGCCTTGTGGGATGGTTTCGTTGCGGACGGCGTTTGGCCGTTGGGGTGTTCTAGGAGAGGCGTTCTCTCGGCGTCATCACCGACGACAAAGCGATCGAAAACGGAGGCCAACGCGGGCTCTGTGTATGCGATGCCGATCGCCAGCAAACCGACGACGAAATAATCCACGGCCAACGCGACCAAAGGAATGTTAAAGATCCAGTACTGCATGGTCAGGATGAGACCCATGGCACTCGAGACCAGCGTTAACAGCGCTGCTCTCACAGCGAAATGTCGTGCCATTCGAACGGATGACCAGCCGAGCTTCGCACGCGAACGACCAAAGTACACGACGCCCATACCCAACAAGAAGGTAAACCCCGGGGCGCATAGGTGTGCGAGGGTTCGGAGGACATAGGCGAACCACCATGCCCAGTTTTTGACGACGACGGAATCGGCCTCGGCTTCATTACCGCTGGTGGCGTGAGGCCAGCTGTTGAGAGCGACCGTGTTGTGGTCCCATGCCATGAATACCATCAAGAGACCACGGAGAAGATCTGGCGCAAGTGCGCGTTGCGGTTTTGTCGCTGGGCTGGGTGAGTTGCTGGCGTCAGCGTTGGACGTGATGCTGGCACGAGGGTCGTAAGAGCCCATCGAGTCAGGCAGAATGGGATTGGGGATATCATCCTGACGAGAATTGCTCTCTGTCGCAGACGTGTTCGAGTTGATCGGCGTCATGTTGACAGCTTGCGGTTGCTGACGATACGAACGACGATTGAAGAATGTCTATTGTGCGAGGAGAACAAGGTGCTTATTGGGGATCAGGGCAAGGAATATTAGCAAGAAAAGAATGGCTCATCCTAAGCCTGTAAGCACTAATTTACGAGCTGCCGCATGGCATTTGAACGGCGCCTACACACGCGAAGAGCATCAGAAACTGGGGATCTGTCTGATGTCAGCCGTGGCCCAGGGATATGCTTCCTTTGATTACCCCGAATTCCTATCTTGATGTCAGGTTTGTCATCAAGTGTTGGATGCAGTGCACCATTGAATTACTGCTTGTATGATTCATAGTGAGTATCGACATGACCGATCATTTGTTGCATAGAAGAGTGTTCAATCACGGCGCCTATTCAACTTTGACTGAAGCCGATATTGACCAGTAGATGCCTACTATGATGCGACAACCAGCGACAAGTTTAGGATGTCTGCGAATCCTTCGCAATCCTTTCGAGGAGTTCCTGGTCATGGTCATCCTAACTCCTGATGACTAACCACTACTGGAATTTGAGTCCAATTCAATAATAAGAATAATCCAAGCCATGAGTTGAAAGATTCAGGGTGGTTAAGCTGTGGACATTTTGCGACATTACTCGTATACTCAAAAGCGTTAAATGCTTGCTAAAATACTTTTCTCTAAATAAAATGAGCATACTACCTTACTACACCGATAGCCAGGGAACAACCGCAAAAGATTGAATATCTGCGATAGATCACTTCGATACAGTGCTCGTACAGCCGAATGCGGAAGTCATCTTAACTAATAAAGTTGAGCTGAACCATCGGCTCTCTCTTGGAGCCTCTTCCCGGCCTCAGTCCCGAACAGCGGGGATCAGTCTGGGTGCCCCGGGTTTACCGAAATACTCGTTCGGCAACCTTGAGCACTTCATTGGCGAGATCATCCGGACTATCCTTTTAGTGCCCCAAATCGTCATTGTTCTCCCCTCACTAGAAAATGCGGAGGATCAATAACCCCTCCACCAGCCACACCCGTTCCGAGTTCCGAACTCCGCGACCGGCCCACTCCGTCAACCCGCAACTATCATGGCGGGGGATAAATGAACCCCATGGACCGTGAAGAAGGCCATGCAGACATTCTTGGATTGTGTTTCGCCAGTTTTATATTCTGAGGAGTTCAAAATGGCGGAAAAGACTGATATCGAGGCCATCCTCAAGAGCCTCACGCTCGAGGAAAAGGTACGCTCAACAAATGTCACAGATATACGGCTTGCTAACTAACCCCTCACAGATTAGGCTTCTTGCTGGCCGCAACTTTGTCGAAACCGGCGATGTCCCTGAGAAGGGCGTCCCGGCAATCAAGGTAATCATCATTTTCCACCACCCGAAAATATTGAACGAATACTGATGAAGATAGACTACCGATGGCCCCAACGGTACCCGCGGTGCCGCAATTGACGGCTCAACGAAAGCCGCTTGCTTCCCTGCCGCCTGCAGCATAGCGGCGACTTTTGACCGCACAATCGCTCGCAAAGTAGGCTACGCCCTCGCTCAGGAATCCAAGGCAAAGGGCGCGCGATGCCTCCTGGCACCGACGGTCTGCATTCATCGCCACCCCCTCGGTGGACGTAATTTTGAAAGCTATAGCGAGGACCCGTTCCTGGCTGGTAAACTCGCCTCAGAGATGATTCAGGGGTGCCAGTCTTTGGGTGTTTCTGCAACGATTAAGCACTTCGTGGCCAACGAGCAGGAGACTGCGAGAACTACTGTCGACGAGACCATCTCTGAGCGTGCCTTGAGGGAGATTTACCTCAAGCCGTTTGAGATTGCAGTCAAGGAGGCGAAGCCGTGGGCCATCATGTCTGCGTACAATCTCATCAACGGAAAGCACTGCGATTCAAACGAGTGGCTGTTGAAGGAAGTGCTCAGGGGAGAATGGGGATGGAAAGGCTTGGTGATGAGTGATTGGGGTGGCACGAACTCGGTTGCGGAGGGCATCAAGGCGGGACTGGATATCGAGATGCCCGGTCCGCCGAGGATACGAAAGACTGCTGCCGTGTTGGACGCGGTGAAGAATGGCGAGGTCTCTGAGAGCGACATTGACGAGAGGGTGCGGACGATCTTGGAGTGGACTGAGCAGTTGAACGGGTTCAAGGACCCGACCATCACCGTTGAGAAGGCTATCGATCGCCCCGAGCACCGGGCTCTTATCCGCGACGCGGGAGCCAGGGGTATTGTTCTTCTCAAGAATGAAGGCAGCATTCTGCCATTAACCAAGGAGAAGGTTAAGGGAAAGAAGATTGCTCTGATCGGATATGCCAAGGATGGTCTTGCGCACGGCGGTGGAAGTGCCAGCGTCAACGCGCACTACCGTCTCCCTCCCTGGGATGCGCTGCACGCTGCATTCGGTTCCGACGTCGAATTCACATATGCCAAGGGCGCACACAAGGAACGTCTCCTCCCGCCAATCAGCCCGGAAGGCAAGGTTGGCAAGATTGTTGGCCTTGACGGAAAACCCGGCTTCAGCAGACTCTTCTACGACTTCCACGGCAAGGAGGGCGATGAGCCCGTCTCCGTATTGCACAGCTACCCCAACTCCGCCTACTCACCCTTGGGATCCCAAGAATCGATGTGGAAGACGCTCGACATCGTTGGTGACTTCACACCCTCTGAGACAGGAACACATTACATCGCCTGCTCCGGAATTGGCCCCACGCAGGTCTTCGTTGACGACGAGATCGTCTTCGAGCAGAAAGGAAACTGCGCCGATCCCATGGGCGCTCTATTCCTCGCTGCCAATGAGCCGGAAATCAAGCACGCTTTCGAAGCTGGCAAGACCTATCGTCTTCGCATCCACAGCAAGCCTCCCAGCAAGATTGGCCTGGAGATCCTGGAGGGCAGGACAGGCGTGCGGATGGGCTTCGCGCTTGAATCAGACCACGACGCAGACCTGCAGGGCGAGGCCGCCCGGGTTGCCGCCGAGGCAGACTTTGCTATCGTGTTCACTGGACATGACCCGCAGTGGGAGACGGAGGGTAGAGACCAGGAGTCGTTCCATCTGCCGTGCGACCAGGATGGTCTGATCGATGTTGTGTCCAAGGCGAACAAGAACACCATCGTCGTCAACTCAACGGGTGTTGCCGTCGCGATGCCCTGGCTCAGCAAGATCTCCGCACTGGCTCAGTCCTGGTTCCCCGGTCAGGAGTGCGGCAACGCCATCGCAGATGTCTTGACGGGAGTTGTCAACCCTGAAGGAAAGCTGCCTACAAGTTTCCCGGCTCGGGTTGAGGATGCCCCTGCTCACGGAAACTTCCCCGGTGAGCGCGTCGACGGACAGTTGAAGGTCACATATGAAGAGGGCGTGTTTGTTGGATACAGACACTACGACCGGGTGGACAAGTCCAAGCTCAACTTCCCCTTCGGATACGGACTGTCGTACACGAGCTTTTCCCACACTGACTTTGCCGTCACTCAGAAGGGCAGCGATGAGTTCGTGGTTACAGTCGACGTCGCCAACACTGGTGCACTGGCGGGCGGCACCGTAGTCCAGGTTTACGCAGGCAAGGCAGAGACCAAATCGGACTCGCCTGTCAAGGTCCTAGTCGCCTTTGACAAGGTGCGTCTTGAGCCTGGTGAGAAGAAGACCGTGCAATTGCCGGTTACGGCAAAGGATTTTGCGTCATTTGACGAGGCTGCCAGGGAATGGGTCGTTGAAGCTGGAGAATACAACTTCGTTCTCGGTGAGTCGGCGGCAGAGGCGCTGGCTGTTGTGCCCGTGGCAGTGCAACGGATCACGTACCGGCGGTAAGCCTCAGCCACGGCGGTAGCAAGTCTAGAAGAGGCATTTATTGCAGTGTGTATGCGTATAGATATCACGAGTTAGATAAATCAATGAAGGTAATGAGCCGATTAGTGTTAGAATCCATCCAAAGTCAGCCTTACTCGGTATCCATTTGAGCAACATACCCCTGTACTATGCAGCCAAGACCCCGTGCCACGATCGATTGGTTGAGAGCTTCCAACAATGTAGACCTTTAGGGATAGTCTTTAGAGTTATGGGGACTTTTGTTGACTCAAGGCTCAGCTGAGGCTTTGAATCATAGTTTAGCTTTGAGGATTATATTATCACGGTTGCATATGCAAGTCACCATTCAACTCCAACGCAACTAGCACCGCAACTCAAAAGCAGATCTTCAAAAATGCCAAGAACAACGAAGGAAGAAAGCGCAGATCTTTCAATCAAGCTCATTAACCCCGGAACACCATTCTACGCAGGTAGCGTTATCATCGGCCATGTCATTCGCAAATCGCCCATTACCACGCCTTTCGCTACCATCCGCGTGCGTCTTAAAGCTCGTGCCAAGGTGAGGCTTGCCGTACACTTCCAGGACTCAGGCGACAACATATTTCGATCCCAGTTCAACTTCTGGCCTGAAAATGCCGTGGCCGAGACTCTTCACGAAGGCGAACTGCAAGTTCCATCCAGCCTAGGTGAGGCGGATAGCTGGCCCTTCGCCTTGACGATCCCTACGCATACCAATGCGAAGGGTTTGAATACAGGCTTGGACAATGATGCAAGGAAGGCGTGCTTTTTGAACCTCCCCGAGGACAAAGAAGGGAAGCTGGGAGTGCCGGAGCAGCCTTTGCCAGGAACCTTCTACACCGAGCATACCGGAAGCGAGAGGTCGTTTCAGTCGTTTGTAGAGTTCTGGATCGAGGCGGAACTAAAAATGAGACCGACGCGCGAGGCGCAGACGGTACAAGCAAAGTTGCCCGTCACGGTACTTTTTGCTCCCTCTCCGTCACCACCCATCACAAATTTTGCGCGGATGAGAAGGATCGCAGCTGGATGCGTATCCACCCAGCGCCTCTTCCCAGGGATGGAGAATGCGAAACTATCCTTCATGCAGAGATCAAAGAAGTATTTCGGCTCTACGAAGATACCTGTACTCCGATTCTCTCTCGACGTGATATATCCCACCGTCATCCAGCTCGGAAACCCGGCCATCATCCCGTTTGCCCTGCGCTTTAATCCCATCAAAGACAGAAGCTCAGACGTCATTCAAGATATGCCGCGTATCTATCTCGAAAGTACCGCGCTGGAGATCCATTCCACGACGGAAGTCGTTGTTCCTTTCAGGCGGAAACCGATTTATGACGACAAGACGAGGAAGACGTGCGTTGGAACGAGCATGGCTGGAGCTTCGGATCGACGAAAACGGGTTGATCAAGGGCGTGGGGGAACTTCCACCAGGGAGACAGGAGCGCATATATCCAACACATACGACATATTCCATTAAGCACCATCACGCGCTCAGAGCGAAAATCAACCTTTTAATAGCGGGAGAAATATGGACTTTTAAATTTTTGGAAAAAGTCACTATTCTTCCGCCTATCGAGCAGGTGAAGTCGGGACCTGAGGGATCAACAGCTGGCTTTGAGGACGCACCACCGCCATATTCTGCTGCTGAAGTGGATGCATCGGCGGTTGCTTCGGCACTTGCGGGGATTGCCTCTGAGCTTTTTGATTAATATTATTGAATTGTGCATATGGAGTATTCATGAATGACATGAAGGGTCACTATCTGTTAACGAGAACGGTTGGCTGGGGAGGGTTGAGCACAAGGGGACAGTCAAGTGAGGGATTGATGGGGAGTAATTGTACAACTATTTCAATTTAGTACCACTTGTTTAACAATATTCATAGATGTGTTAATACAATAGGCTTTATAGTGACTAGTGCCAGTGGTGTGTAAGGATGCCGATATCAATTTGCTTCATACCGCCAACGTTTTGCAGTGCGTTTCTAATGACCTTTCAACACCTTCATGTTGTTGCTTGATAACAAACATGGAAGGCGCAACTAGAGACATATCCCAACCTTTTATTTGAGATGGGGGATCGGGCTACCAGCAGAAGAGGTGGTGATGAGAATAGTCCCAAGCCAACTCGGACTAATTTTCCGAGTTAGAATCACTCAATGACTGTAAAGTCAATCATCCCACTTTTAGCTCATTTCAGTCATCACGCAAGATCATCATAAAACGCAAATTCATGATAAAATAATCCTCATATTTAGACAAGAAACGTTATCGACAGTAGTTATCGTTGTATACACTTAATACATCATCCTCATACAAAGAAGAAGCACCTCGGGCATGCTTTACAAGAAATGGGCCAAGTGGCCAAAGTAGATTACTTATTTCAGGTAGTCGCCGACAAGAGCGAGGTTAATAATGGACGCCAAGCCGTACAGAGCAGCGTCGTTGGTGCTGATCCAAGCAGCCTCATCAATGGGCGCCAAGACCGCGCTGCCGTTGAAGTGGACAGTGTTCCAGGGCGAGGTCGGCTTGAAGCCGTCGGTGGTGAAGAACTCGTTCCAGGCGCGGGCAGCCAGCGTCGCGTTCTCGTTGTGGTGCGCGGCGTAGGCGGTGAGACGCGAGTGTCCCTGCTTGAGGTTGAGGTTGCCAAAGGTCTTGCCGTACCGGGCGGTCTGCTCGCCGGCGCCGGCGCCGTAGTAGTACGAGTAGTCGTACCACGCAGCCTCGAAGCCCTCGGGCACCTCCTCGCCGGCGTGCTCGATGAACTCGGCGACGACCTCGAGAAGGCCAAAGACGGCAGACAAGTGAGACACGGCAACGAGGCCCTCGTTGTTGGGATCCGCGGGGGGAGGGCCCAGGGTGCCGTTGGCGATGCTGTACAGACCGGAGCCCGTGACGAAGCCGTTCTTGAGCTTGGCAATGCTGGCGGCCGTGTTGACCAACTTGGTGCGGGCCTCCTCCCACCTTGGGCCGCGGCGCTCCCACTCGAGCAGCCAGGAGGCGGCGAGGGAGGACCAGTCGGTACCGAGACCGACGGCAACAGAGGCGTTGGGGGTGGGAACCCAGCCGTCGGTGCGGACCTTGCGGTTGGGGTCGAGGATACCGTAGGTCTTGTCGGTGTCGAGGATCTCCTCGATGAGCTCGCCGACGCGCTCGTCACCTCCGGAAATGAAGTAGAAGACCTTGCGGTACTGAGGAGTCGAGATACGAGCCTGCTTGGCACTGTCGCTCCAGTGCTGGACACCGTGACGGGTACCAAGACCCTTGAAGGGACCCAGGTGGTAGACGTCGACCTCGCCGGTGTGGCGGACGAGAGCCTCGGCGAATCGGTAGACGTCCTCACGACCGGTGCGCAAGAAGTAGTTCCAGAAGAAGAGATCGGGAGAGAGCTCAGAGTTGTCCCAGGCGTAGCCACCAACGTCGTAACGCCACTGGTGGCGGTCCGGGTCGTAAGCGTGGATGAAGTCACCGTGGTCCCAGAAGCCGTACCACTTGCGCTGCTCAACCTGGCCTTCGTAGAACTTGAAGAGGAAGTCGAGGTGCTTCTCGATCTCGGTGGCCTGGGCGCTGGGAGAGGCGCTGGGGGGTGCCCAGTAGTTACCGATGGCCTTGGTCTCGGCGTAGTATTCGGGCTCTCCGTAGAGAACGGGGGGGTTGTTGGTGTGCTCGGTCAGGTCAGAGAGTAGGATTCGGTTGGGAGTCTTGTCAAAGCCGTAGAGGAAGATCTCGTTGGTTCTGGCAACGCCGTAGGGGCTGTCGAAACCGCCCTCCCAGTCCTCGTAGGTGATCTCGAGAGCGTCGAGCTGGTCGGCGTAGTCTTCCTGGCCGAGACCGTCGTGGTAGGGACGAACGTCCAGAGGAGGAGCAGAAGGGCTGTAGATCCAAATGGTGATCTCACCCTTGTCGGTGGCGGCGTTGGTGATGTCGATACCAGTGGGGTAGCGCTTCCAGAAGTTGCGCAGACCAACGGCGAGACCACCCTTGGTGGCACCACCGAGGTAAGCAAGACCGCCGGCACGAGTACCACCGGGGATGTTGATCCAACTCTGACCAGCCTTGGTGCGCTTCTTCAGGGTGAAGCCATCAGGAGAGAGCTGGGTCAGGCTGTAGTCGCTCCAGGTGGGGATCCAGTGAAGTCTGGTGGTGACTCTCTGATCCCAAGTCGCAGGGTCGGCGAGCTCCACGCCCTCGAACTGGTCATTACGGACCTGGGCTCCAGGGTCGCGGCGCAGACCGGTGATTCCCTGGACAGCTTCGTTAAGGAGACCACCATCAACGCCAGAGATTCTGACGTGACGGTTGTACTGCTCCTCTCCCGCGAGAGGAACCTCGAATCTGATACCAAGGCCGCTGATGAAGTCCTCCTCGGACTTGCCGTCATAGATGACGGTGTGCACGATGCGAACAGCCTCGGAGTTGGCATAGGTGTAAAAGCGAAGGATAAAGGGGAGCCAGTCGGCGTGGCCGCCCTCCTTGGTCTGGTGCTTGCCACGGACGGTAACAAGAGCACGGGCAACGTTGTCCTTGCTGACGGTAACCTCCTCGATGTTGCTCTCAAAGTTGAAGTAGTTGATTTCAGACTTGCCCTTGTTCTCGGGGTGGTCTTCAACACCAGACTGCGAGTGCAGAACCAGCTTGCCGTTCTGGCCGATGGTCTTGCCAGAGGCAGTCTTGATCTCGCTGACAACAACGTTGCCCGACTTGGGGAACAAGAGCGAGAGCTTGCCGGTGTCGACGCTTACGGAGTCGGACGAGTCAGTCACGACCAGGCCGGTGCTAGATTGCCTCTTGGCACGGGCGAAGCGAGCCGTCGAGTTGGCCGACGACGCGCTAACGGTGTACTCGTCGAGAATGGTATCAGACTCGGGGATCGCATGGCCAGTCCACTTGATGGAACCGTCCTGCCAGTAGGCCGTAACCCACGACTGCAAAGTGCCACCGCTGGAGAGGGTGAACTCGGTCGAGTTGGGGTAGTGCTTGCCCCTGGCCCAGGGCAAGCCGAAAGTAGTACCGGTGTTCTGGGAGGGCGTGCGGCCGAGCCACTTGACGGTGGCACTATCGCCGGACGTGCTGTTGTCGAATCTTTGGGCGTCTGCCGAGCCCAGGAGGCCGGCAACGGCCATGAGGCCGAGGACGAGTCGAGACATCCTTTGGCTTTGACACAGCAACTACAAAAGAATGAAGTGGTTTGCTGTTGGCCGTTGTCTCTCTCTCTCTCTTTTGGAACGAAAAAGAAGGCGGGCTGTCGCGTCCTTTTTCAAAAGACTGGGACAAGTCTTCGGGACAGTAGGGAGCGACTTATATGTCAACCTTTGCCACATTCGAGCCTTGGCTCACCGCACCGCCTCCGGATGGCATCACCTCGTGCGGTGATCTCGAGAGTGTGTCCATGGGGCCAAGGGCGGACCATCATGACCAGACCTGGCCTTGACGCGAATGCCCAAAGTGATGATGCCATCTTTCCGCTCCATCTTTCTCGGCGGACCGGTCATGCTCCTCCTCGATGCTACGCTGCTCTGCCGCTAGATCTGCGAGTTTGATTAAGGTCAAGGGGTCAACCTGGCTCTCCGCGAGTCGTTGCTTGTAGAAAGCACAAGGCTAGCAGCTGCAAGCTGGTAACCATAATTTTGAAAAGAGGGGGAAAATCTAGCCCCAGGCTTGACAACTTCGGTCTAATTGCACCGATGACGGGGGAAAGGGACCGGAGAAAGGGTCCTAATGGTGACCACCTCCCTGACGGGGCAATTGAACCGGACTCCAGGTCCCGCTGGTGTTCCACCGAAATAACCGAAGGGGAAGCTTGCCGAGCATCTCTGGGGGGCGATCCAATGGGGAACAGCCGAAAGATGCGGGGTAGAAACGGCAGCTAGAATTTTGATAGCAAAGAAAAAAAAGAAGGGGGGGATCAGGGAGGAAATTTGTACATTTAATTATGCATATATTGCGGGCGTTGGAGGGGGGAAATAGTGTTAAGGGAATACCCTTGATACAAGTGTTTACTTTAATATGACTCCAATCACGCAATATCGCACCACTCTATGTTGATTGAACACTATTTAATGACACCAGCTGCTTTATTGCCGCAAAACTCCCCAAGAATTTGGCAAGGATGTGATTCGTGTTCCTGAGGTCGCCGAGCTCAGCCACGAGCCAGATGCAGGAACATACCGAACGGGTTGTGGGGAGAAGCAAGGGTCATTGTGAATTACCGCTCCAGCCGATGAAGCCGGGCTGCATGGCGTTAAGATAGGACGAGATTCCGTGATGACGGCTTATCTCAGTATCATACCAGGAGCAAGAGATATTGGGGCAATCAGAACAGTCGGCATTTTGTGGAATATGTTGGTAATTTTACGACATCCGATTGCGGCGAACGGTGGTTTTGTCGCGTAGGAAAGTTGCCCGAATGCCGGTCTAACATCAACCGGATGAATACAAAAACAAGTCCTTCAACAGACCGATAGGATGGATTTTATTGCTGCTGGCCATGAACGAGGGCCAAGCCTGTATGGCACGTCAGTTCGATCGGCGCGGCCCGTCATTGGTAGTTGAAGAAGCAGAAGCCATGTGGTGCCGTCGCAATAGCAGAATCCCACAGGAGATGACAAGGTCCCCGTTTCTCGGGATGAAACCTTGAGCTTCCAAGGTCAAGGTCAAGGAATGGGGATGAAGAAATAGTGTGGGCCGTGATTGTTTATATTCACCATGTGCTCGGTATATAACTGCGCCGTCTTCCGCTTGAATGACAAGGTGAGAACCTGCTCTAACACCAGTTTCGGTAAAGACACTAGGGGAACACATGTCTTCTACGCCTCACCACTGCGTCGGGTGGCACGGTTAGCTCCGGGAACGAAAGCTTCGCGCCACGGGACATGACTGTGTACCTGTTGGGTAGTTGGTAGTCTTCTGCCTCAAGCCCTCCGTTGTACGTTTTATTGCAAATTCGGATACAGACAAACTGGAATCTATTCGATGAGATGGCTGGTATTACTCCAACCAAGAGTAGTTTTCAGCGCAGATTCTACTATTGTGCTTCTCTAATTTGTCCAGGCTGGTTGTTTAGGTTTAACTGATCGTCTTGTTCATCATTCAAACACTGCTGCCTAAGTACTCGCATTTCGCACTCTCCAGCCATAATCTTTGTTGTTCCTATCAAACTTCCACCTGCCCCTTTAGAATCCCTACCGTTGTTTATAGACCTCAAATAAAAGTCTACTTCACCTCTTGACTGCTTAAATGCTACTCTGCCCGGTACACAATGCCGTGCTACCCCACCTTGGATGTTTCGTTAGACAAACTATTTATTTCGCCGCAGATGTTGGTTCTGCAAAGGATTGGTGTGTATCCATCACAAGTTTCTCCGTTTTCCGAGCCACCTCTTCCGCCAACCTTTCATCGTTACCATCAAGGATAGCAGCAGTCTCTTCCAAGCTCATCTTGCCCGTTTCCACAAACAAGAAATAGACGACGACTGCTTCGAACGCCAGCCAAACGTCGTACGTGATGTAACGTCCCACACCCACTTCTGGGCACCCCCCACATTTGGGCACCCCATTTACACCAAAAACGCCGTTTTTCGAAATTCTATATTAAACTAAATACTTTACTTATTAAAGAGAATAAATATATATTAAATAGATTAAGACTTAATTATAATACTTAAGTAGCTATATACTAGTATTATTAATAATAAGTATTATAAATTCAAGGTTTAACATTTATAATACTAATTTACCTAGCCTATATCTTAATATATAAAATAGGTAGAGATATTTAACTAATATGATTAGAATTTTTAAGTAAGATATAGTAGATTTATATATTCTTATACTTAGTAAAAAATTCTTTAAGCTTAGAATAATATTTTAAAATTTCCCTTAAGAAAAGTTTCTATTATAGAATTTTAACCCTTAATTATACTATATTTACTAAAGTAATACTTTTAAATCTCTTTTAGATATAATTATATACTTTTAATAAGTATAAATATTAATTTCCTAGATTTTTTAAATAAGTATATATGAGCGAAAATATATTTTTCTAATGTTAAGGAATACTAGTAAGTTACTAGTATCTACTAACATTTTAAAGCTTTTAGTTTTAAACTTCTATATTATAACTATTATTATATTTAAACCTTTATAAAAAATTAGATGGCTATAATTATACTTAACATAGTTTATATATATTTTCTTTTCTTAGTAAGTATAGTAGTTAGTTTAATATAGAATTTCGAAAAACGGCGTTTTTGGTGTAAATGGGGTGCCCAAATGTGGGGGGTGCCCAGAAGTGGGTGTGGGACGTTAGTACTTCCACTTTGAGTTGGTGACACCGACAGGGTTGGCGTATTGGTTGAAGATGAGAGCCAGCGCTACAAAAAGATTGTACAGTACCAGTCCTTTGGCACGCAGATTGAACGGCAGTATCTCGACGACATAGGTCACTTGCAAGGCACCCCATCCCATGCTGAAAACGACGTTATACAAGAAGATCATGGCAAGAACACCCTTTGCGAGGGCCGGCGATCCGGTTCCCGTAAGGTCGGTCTGTTTTTCATAAGTTGCCTGGAGGGCCGTCCAAGTCACGTAGCAGACCAGGGCACCGATTGTTGAGGCGAGGAACATTGTGCGGCGGCGGAAGCGGTTGACGAGAAATGAGGCCAAAAGGCCCCAAATCAGACCCCAGAGTGTCATCAAGGCATTGATCAGTGTTTGAGTCTCTTGCGACGTGTATCCGATGGAGTTGAGAATCAAAGAAAGATAGTAGGAAATTAGGCCGTTGCCAGACCTGAACAGAGTTAGTCAAATTCAAACGAGTGGTAGCGCGTAGGATTCCGTCGTACCATTGTGAGAAGAATCCAACTGCAAGAATAATGAAGAAACGCCGCCTGTTTCCCGGTGTCTGGAAGAACGACATGTACGAGGTCGACCGCGATGCCTCGGCTTCTAACCTCAGCGCTGTCCTAATCTCCTCCATTTCTAGCGGCACCACAATGTCGGATGCGTCCCCGTTTGCATGGTATTTAATGATCAACGCTTCAGCCTCGGCGTCTCTCTCCTGTGAGATAAGCCATCTGGGCGATTCCTCTATGAGGAAACACAAACCCAGTTGGACGATGCTCGAGACGCCCTGAAGGATGGAGGGAATTCGCCAAGCCCATGTGTTCCCGATTCTGAAGGTTCCGAAAGTAATCCACGCCGCCGAGAGCGCACCGAGACCCCAGAGGGTGTTGTAGATGCTCACCAACGGAGCGCGTTGGGACGGGTAAGCCAACTCCATGATCATCAACGGCGCGGCAGTGATGTTGAGAGCCAAGCCAAAACCGAGGACACCCCGGGCGGCGATGAACATGCCCACATTCTGGGCCGCACCTTGCAGAGCAACACCGATGAGGAGGATGGATGCACTAGTCAAAAGGGCGGGTTTCCGCCCGAAGCGATCGCAGAACCAGGCGCAAAAGGGCAGGGCAACAAGCTGACCGACATTCTGGATCGCGTTCAATCTGAGGCCCCTGTTAGCACTTTTTTTCTCTTTCTGCGAGATGCTATGTGTGTGCTATTCCCGCATAACTCACAGGCCCAGTTCTTGTGCATTCGGGTGGTTGAAGGAGTCCTGCCACGTATCCAGCGACTGTAGACCGTTCATCATGGATCCATCGTAACCTGTCGCGTAACTAGACACCAGCGATAACCCGAGGATGCAATTCAGCTTGACGATGCCGGGGTTGGACAACCATGTCAACGCCCCTCTTTTGTTGGCGATAGCGGCATCGACACTGACGGGTATGGGTATCCCCGCCGACTCTGTTGTCGTGGCGACTTTTTCAGCCATTTGTTGCTATTCTGCCAAGGGAAAAATAAAATGACGCAAAAGTGTCTATCCCAGGGTTCATCACATTCACCGGCGAGCGAGGCTTTTCATGTGTTTACGGAACTGACGCCGTTATATTCTTATCGGGTGTGCAATTCCAACAATGACACCCGGCCATCTTCCGGCCCGGTGTTGGAACATTTCATCGGTTCTCGACCAGGCCAATACCACCTTATCAAGCCGAATAGAGAAACTCGAGCGTAGTCCTGCACTGCGAGGCTCTCGTTTTCGGCATTATCTATCCAGTGCCGAGGGTAGATAATCAGGCGAAGCCTTCCGGATCAGGTACCGCGGGCGATATGCCGTGTGTAACGTGACCTCTTCAAGGTGCGGAGATATTATCAGGATCGATATCTGCCAGTCTGATATGGCAAGATATGCTCTCTCGAGAAGTGGCTCATCTAGACCAATTCGAGATTTAACACCCCGGACCGTTCCATGGCGCCACTCTCCCCAAACGAACATGTGGTCTCCCCCGCAAAATTACATAGTAGCACTCGTAACCCCGCTCGAGCTCAGGTCACTAGCGCATCAGCATCTCTCCAACTTGGTATGTAACATTGCCCGGGGGTGTCGGAGATGGTCCACCGGGCTGCCGGCCCAGTTCGGACCGGGGATGGAAGGATCAACTAGTACCTTGATTGGCGGAGCGGCGTTAAGCCAGCCGTCTAGCAGCAGTGGAGGCCGCTATCGAGAGAGGCTGGCGTGAGGGGTTCCTGGCGGGTGCCTTGTCATCCCCAGACCAAGGATTCTGTGATGCTGGGGTTAGGTAGTCATCGTCATAGGTGTTTGCGGGGGCTGTTGGGAGTGAATGGATATATAGCTGGGAAAGTTGGGTCGGTGATGCTGTTTTCTAGAGGTTGTCGTGCGGTCTTTTGGTTATCCTGTGTGTAAGATGCATCTCAGATCGACAGTCACTTCATTGCTGACCTCCAGCACCGTGCTGGGGGTCAATGCCGCTAGCAAACCGGAGCTGTCAGCAAGTAAGATCCTCAAAGTACTTGGGGAATGTTGCTTTTGACTTACACTACTGCAGATGCTCAAAGTTTGTTTGACTTTTCGATGGAGATTGGAGATTCCAGATGGGATGATTCATACAAATTCATATCCTATCAAGACAGGGGACCGTGGTCTGTCAGATTCACTGCCTGGTACACCGCAGGTCTATTGCATCGCAACAAGGGCAACGACGCAGCGAACGCGAGAGCGGCCATTGAGAATATGTGGGTTGCTCAAATAAACTTATTACGACTTGCGGCTAATTTAAAGTTCGTGATACAGCCTTGCAAGCCAGATGACATCGGATTATGAGTCTGCATGGTACGGAACCTTCAAGCTCTCGCCTGATGAGCCGGACCCAACTCCCAATTCTACACTGTACCCGCCCAAGATCTATGTAAGGATCACCCCTTTGTTTTTGACGACAGGTTTACTGACCATGTCAGAATACGTACGATCCAAACTGGAGAGAATTCATTGGGTAAGTCGCATTCAGGAACGCAGACGAACTGGACAGCTAACATGGTTGAAGATCGCAACTCATCCAAGACGTCGAACTCTACTCCGACCTCCTAGGAGAAGACTTGGTCAAGAAAATCGAAGATGCCCTCGAGATCCAGGCCGTCGGTGCCATGCGACGCAACGGCAGCTACCCGAAAGACGACAACCTCATCCTGGGCTACTCCAACCCAGCCCTCATGCGTGCCCTGACCGTGGGCTGGATCGGTGCAAGACGTCAGAACTCGACTTTTATCGATTTTGCAAACACCCAAGGCTCCGAGCTCTTGGAGCTGTTCAAGTCCAACGGGTCAAACACGCTGGGCGAGTACAACGCCCCCAACTACTACGGCATGGACATCTGGGCTCTGGGCGCCAACATCGCCTACGGACCGCGCAACGCCACGATGACCAAGAACTCGGAGTTTATCCTTACCGAGTTGTGGAAGGACATCGTGGACCATTACAACCCGTACCTCGGTAACCTCGTAGGGCCGTACGACCGGGCTTACACGCGCGACATGACGAAGCACTCATCCATTCTCCCCATGTACTGGTGGGCCATCTTTGGTCGCGAGTACGGACCCCAGCCTCCCAAGGGAGAGGGCGACTTGCTTTTCGACGCGTCGCAGGGCGCAGCAGTTTCGCTGGTTGCCGAGACGGTTTCCAAGTTCATCTCCGACAGCACCGCTGCGGCGCTCAAGGCGAAGGGCCCATGGAGCGGTTCTCGCCTCGTGACGAAGACAGTCAAGGAGGAGCTTGACACGGACGAAACTCGCACCGTGACCTCGTGGATCAGCGCTCCTCTCATGGTCGGCGGCCAGAAGCTCAGCGAGGAAAAGAACCGCGGAAACCAGTTCGTCCCGGCCATCGTGCACTGGGCTTCGGACCCTGCGCATAAGCCGTGGCCCTATGTTGGCTTTTTCGTGCTGTATCCCTCTGCCTCCACGATCGACGCCGTGGCTGGTGAGAAGTCGCTGAGCGTTTCGTACCCCAATAAGACGCAGGAGGGTTCTGACATTTTTACCTTTGCTTTGTCTGGAATTCCGCCTTCCTGGACGCTGGGCGGGGAGACCATCACCGGGCTGGAGGAGCTGCCTTGCTTGAACGTCAACGTTTCCGCGCCGGGATTGGAGAAGTTGCCGATTACTTACGGCAGCCAGCTGAGGAATCACTGGTTTTATAATGTCTCTTATGCGGTGCCTGCGGATTTTGAGGGTGTTCCGCAGGTGAACTTGACAATGGAGTATACGTGTGAGATTTGACGACTGAAGAGTAGTCGATTATAGACTAGATACAAGCACATATACTTTATGAAATGATTCAAGTTTCTCAGAGCAAAGTGTTTTGATTTTATTGTGACAGGGCCAAAGTTGATGTGATGTCGTGGGTTAGGGATGACTTGTACTAATTTTCAGCGTCATTGCTTGTTTACTCAGCGTTATAGTATTTAAGGTCTGGACATGCTGAATAGCTTAACGCATCTCCGACTAAATTCAGAACGCAGCCAAATAAGGTTTCGTCAAGAGTACGTTGAGCTTTGGTTGCCTTGGATGAATCATCCAAAGGATTCCACATGCAAGGGAGGCATTAGATCCTATCTCTTTTCAGTATATTCTAGCGACATGGTCTACCAGCCTTATCGGCATCAAAGGCTGGTAACCGAAACCTTAGCGATCTGATGGCCGCCACAGTGGGTAACTCATTGGGGCTATAGCTTCGTCATATAGGTGCAGATATTATACATATGTATATATGTGTATGTATGTGTATTCATGTGAGTATACAGAGTCAGTTTCTTCAGGTCAGTTTCTTCAATCTTTTACTGAGGAGAAGAAAAAAACTGATAGACATGAATAATCTCCTATAAAAATTCTCGCACTGTCAATAATATTCATTGTCGTTTCATCGCACTTCAATCTCGGATGAAATTTCGCACATCGCCACGACGACGCGCTGGGACATTTGGTGTTGTCGATTGATTTGACTTGCACCTCACCGCCTGTGTAATGAGATATATTAGTTTCAGGCCTTAACTAAAATATTGTCTTCAGCACCCGATCATTAACAAGGTACCCTTGCAGTAGTTTCAGGTTAAGTGGCCGAGGTGCCCAATTCCGGCATCAAGAACAAAAAAGTAAAAAATGACACGACAAAACATACAGAATGTGTATACAAGAACAAGCTGAAAGAGTCACAAAAGTCACGGCTGACTACTCCATCATTCCTTTCAAACTTCCCCAAGCCATTGTCTTTCCAGCGAACCCTTCAACGGCCGAAGACGGTTAGAAGACGCCATGTCAAGGGATCCTGGATCGACGCAGGCCGAGAATGCCGCTTGTTGCAATAGTCGGATCCACTAACTGTCTCAGTCGGGCACATTCTCCCTAAGAAAAGCTCAGACGCTCGTGTCTCACCGCTCGACCCCCTGGGGACCAACATGTCAAGGGGGGCATACGGGGGGAAAACTGGGAGAAAGAGAGAGAAAGAGAGAGGGAAATGGGCGTCGTACCCCCACTGGGATGGTATTACTGAACGCCCCCCTCTGATCCTTTCCATCACCGGGCTAATTTCCACGTCGGCGGCGCCTATTTCTTGCCCAAAGTCTAAATTCGACCACGTCGCCGTAAACCTCGTGGCTCAATTTCCTCCCCCCCCCCTGAACACCAAAGACCTCCGTGTCTTGTCGGCTATTTTCTCTCTCACTCACAACATCAAAAAACGGCGTCACCTATGAGAGAAGGCAAGGTGTATGAAACGGGCTCAGAACACGGCGAGCACTGAGAGCGAGAGAGAGAGAGAGTGAGAGTAAGGTGGAGGTGAACCCGCCACTGGGAGACTGGAATTAAATGGGCATCGCCGGCGATGGAGGCCGACAAGGGCCTCGACACCCTGTTCCCTTCACAGACGACCCGGGAACCGACGCGTTGCCGCCACGGCGTGGGAGTGTAGATGAGGAGGCCCAGCTCCTGGCCGCCGAGGAATTCGAACTAGAGCCCCGGAACAGCAGCGGTTCTAGTAGTAACTCGTCCATCCTGGAGCAGAAGTTCCCGGCGACAAAAAAACGACACTGTCTCGCTGGGCCTCAACCGCCGAGGACGCACACGATCCGCCCCGTTTTGCCCTGGGTTCAGGAGGCTCCCCCGAGACTCCTCGACAGGCTTGCTCCGACGCCGCGCCGAAAGGCCTGCGTTGTCGCCGTGTTCCTGGCGCTCTGGGTCATCGCCTTCTCGATCCCGCTGGCGTCGTCCCGCGCCATCAAGGACAGTTCCGGCAAGGATGTGTTGAGTCTCGACTGCGGCGACACTCTGTGGCAGTTCAAGAATGAGTGCGGGCTGGACGGCGCCGATTGTCGCCCTTTTACCAACTCTTCATTCTCATTCAAGTGTCCGGCGAACTGCATGGCTCACAAGCTCCTGAACCCGCATGCTGTCGGACCCAAGGAGATTGTGTACAAGCAGCTGGTCGTCGGCGACGGGATTTACCGGGGCGATTCCATGATCTGCGCGGCTGCGATTCACGCCGGGATCGTGAGCGATTTGAGCGGAGGATGCGGGCGCGTCCATCGGATCGGGCAGCATGAGAGGTTCAACAGCTCGATGAAGAATGGCGTCGAGACCGTCTCATTCGATTCCTACTTCCCGCTATCCTTCAACTTGTCGGCGGACTCGTCTCTTCAGTGCGGCAAGCGGGATCCCCGACAGGTTTTACTCCCCACGTCGCTATTCTTCAGTACGATTTTCTCGATCTTCACGACATCCCCTGCCTGGCAGTTTTTCGTCAGTTTCCTCGGCATCTTCGCCCATGTCAGCTTCGGCTCGGACCCCCCCACGGCATCCCGGCATGTGGCATCCGTGCTCCCGGACCGGATCTCCATGTTCACGGGGCGTCTTCTCCCGGCGGCTTTCTGTGCGGTCGTCATGTACTGGACATGCGTGAAACGGACGCTCACAGGGCTCAAGGCCCAGTTTGAGAAGACCGCTCTGTGGTTAGGAGGCTTCTGGTTCGGGGCGCTGTCGAACTACACCTTTTCCTGGATGCCGATCCAGCGTCTTACCGCTCACGACATTGAGCACCAACCCGGCGCCAAACCGGCACTGGCACTCATTCTCACGATCCTCACCTTTGTCATGGCGAAGCAGGTCTACTACTTTTGGCTGGAGGGCAGACTCCCCCGCTTCATTGCGCTCTACACGCTGTTCCTTGTCGGCATCATCATCGGGTTGTCGATACCCGGCGTCGACCTCCGCATCCACCACTACATCATGACGTTCCTCCTCATCCCCGGCACCAGCATGCAGACGAGGTCGTCGTTATTCTATCAAGGGATGGTATTAGGTCTCTTCGCCAACGGCATCGCCCGCTGGGGCTTCGACTCCATCCTGCAGACCCCAGACGCCCTGCGCGAAGACGGCCCTTACAACTCGCTGTTGCCGCAGCTCGCGGAGCCCGTCATTTCCAAGATGTCATTCGAGCCCAGCATCAGCTTCAGCTGGATTCTACCGCCCAACGCCGCCGAGTTCGACGCCATCAGCGCATTGGTCAACGACGTGGAGCGTTACCGGTATTACTTTGCGGATGGAGATGCGCAGAACCAGTTCATCTGGATGAGAAAGGCTAAGATGGCGCTTCCCGAGTATTTTAGATTTGCATACATGAAAGACGGCATCACATTAGATTATACACCGGCTGGTACGTGGCTCGCCAACGGCACATGGCTTATGCCGCCACAGTAGATGCCACGCCTTATTTTCCATAAGAACATTTTTGATAGATTTAGGGGGAGATGGTTATTAGTGTATGGAGTATGAGCGATAGCGATTTTGTTTTGCTTTTATTTGCGCTTAATTTATCATTCTTGGAGCGGACATGAAAGAAGAAGAAGAAGAAGAATATCTGAATGGAGCCATCTTTGGATTAATTATAGTGACAAAGTCATTATCAGCGTTGATGTTTTGGGTTATTTTGATTGGGCTGATGATCAGAACCCCACTGTAACGCCCTTTGTCACGCCTTGCGTCCCAATACGCCCTGAATTGACATGCTAATCAGCGACATGTCGTTCTCTTAATGCGCGCTACGGATACTGATGCTCAATCCGACGTACTCCGGGATTAGTCGACTCCAGCCGTGTTAAGGATCATGCGGGACCAACGGCCTTCCACTAACAGTTAGTTGTTCATGAGGTGGGTCGAAGGAATGTTGAGTCACTATATTCGTTTGCTGCCTCTACAAAAGCCCCGTTGCGTGCTTCCTCCGCATCATGTCAAATGTCGAAACTTCTCCTCGAGCCTCGTCACTCTTTAGCAGCATACAGCAGTAGGAACAAACGCAATGTCGAGATCAAAGGTCCAACTTGTCCCATGGGACCCAGATTCCCAGGACCATGTCACCAGGATGGTCGACCAGAGGATAGAATGCGGTTGGAGTTTCGACAAAGTACCTAGCTGGCAGGATGATCAACGGACAGGATTCAAATGCATTTACTGGATTGTATGATTCGCAACTATGCAATTGGCATTGGATCTAAGCTGACACAAGTTAGGTCATCGACCCAGAAAGCCCAGAAGCAGACATCAAGTTGTCCAAACACATCACTGCTTGTCCCAAGGTTTGCTCACCAATTTCATCGAATCTGAAAATTTAACATCGGTTACTGATGCTCCGACAGGAAAAAGAGCCACTGGAGGACACGGCGACTTCCATCCGCGCAACTCCACGGACACCATCGTTCACCTCCTTTCATCCCGTCGGCCACATCTCACTGGACGTCGACAACCCCCCAGCAAAATGCCTAAACCTCCCAATCCCATCAGAGGGCGTCTACTGGATCAAGAGTCTCTTCGTTTCATACGCGCTGCACAGCTCAGGCATAGGCAGAGCCGCGATGGACACAGTCGAGGCCATGGCTATGCGCGAGCCGCTGTTTGCAAAAGTTTTGATGCTGGACACAGTAGCCAAGGAGGATCAGCACAGAGAGGAGTTTTTGGCACAAGTATCTGGAAAGCCTCCAGCGGTAAGTTAAGGCCCAATCGCCGTCGCTTTTGTGAATAGTGCCCGTCCGATAGCTGACACTTTAGTAGATGTCTACGCAGGAATGGTATGCGCGTAGGGGCTACAAGCTAATCTGGAGGGAGCTCAACTTCTATCCCGACTTTGACAAATTTGGTAAACCACTAGGGAGATACACCGTATTCATGCGCAGAGATCTAGTTTAATGCCACCAAGACAATGTGAAAAAAATACAATATTATAAACTCTAACTCTATAGGCACTCGAACCACGCTTCTAATTGAAGATCTAGATCTATTACCTCTGTGGCCTACGGATTAGGCTCCATGTAATCAGGATGTCCCTTCCAATTCATCTGCATGACCGCCGGTGCATCGCCTCCCCTCCGGCATTCGACCAACTCCATTTTCATAAACTTTTCGTAGAACGGCACCGACTTTTCCCAGTTGCTCGTAAACAACAGACTCCTCCTCAAATGCGGCATCGACTCAATCACCTCCTGCACGCGTCCGATCAACCACGTGCCCAGTCCTTTTCCTTGTGTGGACGGGTCAACCCAGACGTCTGTCACGAACGCAAATGTCGTGAAATCTGTAACCAGACGCGCGAAGCCGATTGTTGCGATAGTTGGAATACGGAGTCGTGTGGCACTTCCAGCCACACGCCCGCCAGGCTGAGAGGCCCAAGCCTCCGGAATACGGAGTCGTGTGGCACTTCCAGCCACACGCCCGCCAGGCTGAGAGGCCCAAGCCTCCCAGACCCACGTGACAGGCCAAGGGGGAATATCCCTACCTTCTAGTCAACAACACCACTTTCAACTATCATGAACCATCGATTAGAACTAATTTACTGTTATTTGTTATTGACGAACGGAATTCCGTTTCACCCCCTGTGAAACCTATACTGATTAGTGGTAAACCTTATAGTTGCTATTAATTTAGTTAACTTTACAATTACTATTCTGCTACGGACAAACCGCAGATTAGCAAGGTTAACACTAGAAGAGACGACTTCTTAAACTAGATACCCAAGCCTAGGTAAAAGTAGGGATTTCGTACTAACGAGAGAAGAAGCGAGAGTAACTAGGATCTACGGAAACTAGTAGAAGAAAGCTTCTTTTCCTCGAATCTACTAGCAATCCGATTATTCGAGTAACCTAGGGACTGCTATGCTTACCCTAGGCGGGATAAGGTTAATCGTAGCTAATTATCGCTAGCAAGAGCGTTCCATTACGCGTTTTCAATCACCAGAAGAAGAGACCTACCGAATCGACGGTCTTCCAACCTCTTCACGCCACAAAGGCGAAGATTCACGAATCCCACAAGGGATAACAACTTCCCCAACTACAACTATCCCCTACGCGCGGTGCTAATCACGAGGCGCCTGCTAGTTTCTTAATAAATCCCCAGACGAGGTGCCAACCGCGAGGCGCCTGCTACAAGAGACCTCCCTACTAGAAGAAGAACACGCCGAAAGGCAAGCAGAGACTACCGGCGGTAATCCGCCTATACAGCTATACGTATACGCCTCCGAGGCTACGGCTTAGGAGAAACGCACGTAGTTATAGGCGTTATAAGGCTAACTGTCTGCTAGATTCTAAACTTCCTAATAAACTCTCTCCCTACTAATTCGAGACCTGTATATACCTTTACACCCTTCGAGAATATTAGCAAGAACGGCGCCGACGGAAATAAACGACGAACTAACGAAAATCACCGATTTCATAATTCTTTCCCCTTAGAATCAATTTAAGATTCTAAATAGAAGTAATTATTTTATACTATTAGAATAGAGCGAAATTCACGAGAAGGATCGCCCGCGAGCGGCGTTACTACCAAAAGCTAATCAACAGTCCCTATCTTATAGAGAATCGAAAGTATAATCGATCTAGTAGTATAAGGCAACTAGGCAATCGACCTTACAAACGCTAGCCTATAGCAACTAGGTTCCTATATAGGTTTCCTACTTAAGACCTATGAGAAGAGGAATCTTATAAGCCTCGAGCTATAGAACGAAGTTTCTCCCGATTTCGCCGACTAGTTAGAAGAAGACTTCTAGAACGTACCTCCCCTAATCCTACGATTCTTTAAAGACTATTTAATCGGTAATAGCGTCTACGTCAAAATAGATAGCAAGAAAATCTCGAAAAACGTAGCATTAGCCTTTAAAAAGGAAGAATTCTACTACTAGTCACCCTAAGAACTCGAACAAGGCGTTAAGAGATATCGCAACCTAAAGGCTCTAATAAAAAACCCCGAATTCTACGAAGAGATCACGAGACCGGCAATAGTAGCTAACAGTATAGGAGGAAGAGTCGAACTAACCCTATAGCCACCCCTTCTATAAGAATAACAATAGTAGCAACTACTATACCAACCGCTATATCCCACGGTCTCTCCGTTAATAGACTTCTAACTATACGAGTTAATAGACCGTATCGGAAAGCAATTAACAGAATTCGCGAAACTATACCCCGACGATATGAAATACAGCGGCAATATATACGATATACTCGAAAAGAAGATGCTAGTATTCGTAGATCACTATAGAATGCTAGGAATTTACACCTCCTAATACAATAGGGTACTTCCCCTAATACTAAAAGGAATAGCTAAAACCTACTTCTACGTCTCGATTAAAGTAATCAACCTACAGCCTAACTTCGAGACTATAATCAACTAATTAAAATTATACTTCGAGACTAGGGAAAGGCAATAAGCATACGTTACGCAGTAGAATACAACTACTCTTCCCTAAATTATTTGCGATAACCCTAGAAAGACTAAATCGGAGTATTTTAACATACTATATAACAAATTAAGCAAGATTCAGCCCGGTTTGCTATAACAGGATCATAACGACCGATCCCTCTATACTTAACTTCTATACGCTTATAGAGATATTCTAGAGTATATAATAGCGTTATTTATACCGGCTAAGACGTACGAGGGACTTCGTAGCTAATTAATCTTGTCGATCGAGATAGCTACCCGTCTTAACTAACAACAATTCAACATAGTAGCTAACCTACTAAAGCAGTACTAGACTGATAGAACTTTTAACGGTCGAAGGCGTTATTTACGATATAGTCGTTTATTACGAAGTCGATCATTACGAGGAAGAAGCCGTAACAAACCCCTATTACCGCCGACGCTTAAGAAGTGCTACGTATATAGAAAACCTAACTGCTAGTCAACCAAACACACTATAGAAGAGAGACGAAAAGCGTACGAGAAGTTCAAAACCACCCAATATGCCTAGGATACGTTACTTCTAGCATATAGCCAATTTCTCGTCTAATATAAAGGTTTCGACGGGTTAGACTTATAACCTACCGCCGAAGACCCTTAGTAATACTACTACGTAACCGAACAAACTAGTAAAAGTAACGAAGAGGAAGAGACTAGTAGCGATAGTTAATTCCAAGTTACCGCCTATTTTACTATAATAGTAATTAATAGTAATAGGATCGCTACGATCCTAGCAGACTAGTTAACCTGCTATGCTATTACGAAAGAAGACCTCTTCCGTAACTAACTAGAACCGAAAGAGCTACCTTCGCAATTTATACTCGAGGGACGCTACTTTGCCTAGAACTTCTAAGGGATTATGCCCGACTCGGGCGTAGTAGGATTCTCAACCGCTAGCTACCTACAATTCGTAGCCTTATAATAAATTTACGAAGGAATTATGTTAAATACTAAGGCGGCTAGCGGCGTTATAGTAAAATTCGGCGATAGGATACTACTAGAGTCTATAAGGACTATGAAAGTACTAACGCCGTTTAGAAGCGTTAAATTTTACGTTATTAAGACTAATACTCCTTTCCTTATATGCCTAGGAGATATAGACCGATTAAAAGTCTACTTTAACAACGTTATAAATACCTTTATCTAAGGAAACAAGGTCGTACCTATTATTCGCAAATAGGGCTACCTATGGTTATTACTTGATAAGGAGAAACTACTCGCCTAGAACCACCTTATAGACGCTAAATTGCAACAGGTTTACCATCGCTTCGGACACCTATCTATTTAACGATTATATAAGGTGCTCTAGAGGGCCGGCTACCTAGTTGAAATTACGGCAATTAAGCAACTATCGAAAGTCTGCTATCGATGCTAAATGCACGCACTAGCGCTATCACGGTTCAAATTCACGTTACGAGACGATTACGAATTTAACTACGAGGTTATCGCCGACGTAATATACCTTAAGGGTAATAGACCGGTCTTCTACGTCGTCGATACCGCTACGGCGTTTAACGCCGCCCGGTTCCTTAAGGACATTTCTGCGAAAGCTACTTAGGAAGCCTTATGTCAGATTGAGCGCGCTACGCGAGGCTTCGGCAACGCTCGGCAGAACACTATTTCCGAGCGCCGAGCCCCGGGTCAGGGGGTGGCATACCCCCTTCCCTACGCGCCCCTGAAGGGCCCTTAGACAGTTACACACATAACGGAATATACATCGTTCTGAACCCTTAATTCGATAATTAACAGTCTGATACGTGCTGCGTTTACGTTAAACGCCGCCAGCCATCTATTCTACGCATACGAAAGCCCTTTCTACGCGCCCAATTGAACCCCTATCGTCGAAATGTCCTCCTCAAGCGCGAAAATCACCCTGAATACCCCTGCCGACTGGATCCTATGGATCGACCAGCTGCAGTCGAAGGCCAAGTCCTACGACCTCTGGCGATATATCGATCCCCAGCGCCCAGGCGCCTTAAACACGGGACAAACGCGTCTCGAGCGGCGGATGGAGCGGCTGAAGCGCCCCGAAATATACGATCACCCCAAGACCGGCAAAGCCGAAGTGCTAAACGAAGACGCCGACTACGAAACGCGCGCACAAGCGCTGGAGGAGCTCTCGGCAGCCAATCTCGCCCTGTATAAGGAACGTCGGTCTGAATATATAGAGCGCTCCAAGACCCATGAAGCGTTCCTGAAAGGGATTCGCGTGCTCGAAGACTAGGTCCGAGATACAGTCAGCACCTCTCTCCTCAAGAGCTGCTGTACCGCGGACCGCGCACTGGACCGCTGGGTCTACGCGTTGAAGGAACGCGTAGGGATAACCACTCGTGAGAGACGCACCGCCGCGAGCGAAGCATATAAGAAAGCGCTCCAGATACCGGAGCGGAAGCGACTCGCAACGAAGAAAGAGCTGGAAGAGTGGCTTACGAAGTGGGAAGAATCAATCCACGAAGCAGCAGCGGCAGGCGTCCCGGGTACCGAGCTCCCCAGTATATGGTTCCCGGAATTCACCTACGCCGTGAGCCATAGCTACGCCGATACATAGATCTTCTCATACCAGACCGTCAAGGACGAACGCGTCGAAAGCGAGAAACTGAGCGTTGGAGAAGTCTTGTCAGACGCGCGGCGGTTCCTACAAACAACCTCTCAACACAACCCGAAGAAGCAGGCCGGACGCGGAGCGTTTGGTCCTACCACAGAAGCCACTTCAAGAAACGAAGAGGAAGGGGAACGAACTTCCCCCGCGCGCCTAACGGTACCAATGAGAAGCAGCCGGGGATCTCGAGGAAACACGCGCTCCAGAGGAGGAGCTCGCAGAGACCGGTCGCGGAAGAGAAGCGATAGGGAGAGCGAGGGCAACCGGCTGTGCCCTGCGTGCCTGAAACCTCACCCGCTCTCGAAGTGCTGGCTCGTCAACGAACGGGAGCGCCCTGAGTAGTACGAGCCGAGTAGAGAGCTTCTCGCGAACCTCGACGAGCGGATGAGAAAAGACGAAACGCTCGCAAACCGTGTCAGGAAGGTAAGAGAACCAGCGAAAGAAGAACACTGACTATATGGCCGAAGCAAGGGGACCGTCCCGAGTGCCTTCCACACCGCTCCGGAGACATACGAGCTCTTCAGATCGGCGATCCTGGACTCTGGATCAACGATCCATGTATTCAACGACCCCTCGTGGTTCACCACACTGTCAGGAAAGCGCAACAGGCGCCAGAAACTCGCTCCGCGTGCCTGGATAGGCTACCTAGTCGGCTACACATCAAGCAACTCGTTCCGGATATAGAATCCCCTGCGTAGTGAAGTATTTACCACGCGCGATGTGGTGTTTAACGAGAAATGCCACTTCGACGGCAACGTCAGGTCCCTAGTGGAAGAAATCAACCACCTCGACCTGCAGGCGATTCAGCAGCGCATAGAGGAGCTGATCAGACAGACCACGGGCTCAGAAAACTATATACAAAGCGCTGACGAAGAAGCAGAAGAAGTCTCAGAGCACGCCGATCCCGGTGAGCCTGCCCTGGAAGCAGCAGAAGCGCTCGGGCACCATAACGCTAAAGCGGACGCGCCTAAGCAAGTGGAAGGGCAATACACGGGAGCGCGGTTTGAGCCCTTTCCGACGCCGGAGGCGTCGCCTCCCACATCCTTTCTCGCGGTGCTCACCGAGCTCGACGTGAGGGGGTGGGGAGAAGAGCATACGCGGGATATCCCCGCTACGAAGCCCATCTATAAGAAGGTCACACCACGGACGTCGTACAAAGCCGCTTTTCTAGCTGGAACGACGCTTCACAAACAAAACCCTAGACGTCAAGACGGCCCACGAAGGGATCGCGTTGTGCCTGGCCAGCCGCGCGCCCCTGAGAGGGTTTCCGAGGCAACCTTCACCGTGAAATCCGGGAATGACGGCGCGGATGAAGGCCCTTTGGAAGACCAAGTTACAGGTCAGCAAGAGGCAAGTGAATCCCAGGAAGGTTGCTCCGTAGTAGAAGCGTTTGAGACAAGTAAGCCCAGCTCCCACAGAGACCGGAGCCAGACGCTCGCAGAAGAGACGAAGGATCTCAGAGCGCGCGGTAACCGGGATGTAGTGACTGCGTTGGCGCCGACCGAGCTCCGCTCCCGCGTGGAAGCGCAAGGCCGAAAGAAAGGCGCCTACTGGAGGGATCTGGCCCCTTTGCTAACGTCTCACGATCAGTTGCAACGTCACCCTTTCCGGGAGGAGTTCCTGCGCGCTGAAAGAAGCTACCTAGACGGGTACAAGGAGTCCCGCTCGTGGGAAGAGGTCGCAAGAAGCGCCTCGCGCGGCTACCAGGTCCTCGGATGCCACTGGGTATACACTTACAAGCTTGATAAGCACGGGCGATTAGCCAAATTCAAGGCACGCCTGGTTATTCGAGGAGACTAGCAAGCAAGAGACGCGCGGGAGACGTACGCCGCGACGCTCGCAGGTATGTCGTTCCGAGTTCTGATAGCCGTTGCCGCGCGCTTTGACCTAGAATTACTACAATACGATGCGGTAAACGCCTTCGTCCACGCGGATCTAGACGAGACCGTCTATATGGAGCTTCCGCCGGGCTACCGCGTTCCAGGAAGAATCCTGCGATTAAGAAAGGCGCTATACGGCCTACGACGTTCCCCTCTCCTGTAGCAACGCTACTTAGAAAAGGGACTCGTAGAACGTGGATTCGAACGCGTGGCAGGCGAGAATTGCTGCTGGCAAAAAGGCGAAGTCATGTTCTTCTTCTACGTGGACGACTGCGTACTGGCGTTTCCCCGCGCGCGCAAGGAGGCAGCGCTGCGGGAGGTCTCTAAGCTACAGAAGCGCTACCACTTCGAAGGAGGCGGAGACCTCCAGTGGTTTTTAGGAATCGAGGTCATACGAGACCGAGCCACACGCCGATTATGGCTCTCGCAGGCAGTTTACGCCGAGAAGGTAAGGCGGCTGCTTCCACCCACAGCTAACGCGTTAGAAGACGGTTCTGAAGCGCGCTCGTATACTCCTATGGTCCTGGAGGAGCTTCTACCCTACGAAGGAGAGGCCAGCGCGTAGGAAGTCAACCAGTACCAGAAGAAGGTCGGGACTCTCCTATACGCCGCAATAATGACGAGACCCGACGTCGCGTTCGCGGCAAGCCGTCTCGCGCGCTTTAACCAGAATCCCGGGCCGAAACACCAACGCGCAGCGGACAGAGCGCTCGCCTACCTCTATTCCACCCGCTACCTCTGCCTCGAATACGGCTGCGAACCCGGCAGCGAGGAAGACACGCTTATCGTGGCGTCAGATGCCAGCTTCGCAGACAACTCCCTGGATCGGAAGAGCTCTCAGGCGCTCGCTATGAAGCTATTCGGCAGGCTCGTTGCGTGGCGCGCTAACAAACAGGCCACGGTCACCACATCTACGACGGAAGCTGAGCTGCTATCCCTCTCGCAAGCAGCAAAGGAAGCGCTATTTGCAAGCCGCCTGATCTCCGCGCTAAACGTATACCTTCCAACAGAAGAAGCGCCGGAAGCGACGTTTCCCGCAGAAAAGCGCAACGTACCCACGATTCAGATCCAATGCGACAACTTACAGACCGTTCGACTGGTGACAACGGATCTAGTGACCCTTCAGACGCGCTTACGGCACGTGGATATTCACAACCACTGGCTACGACAAGAGGTCGCAGCGAAGCGCGTATCCGTGGCATACACACCGTCGTCAGAGCTTATGGCAGACGGTCTGACGAAGAGTCTCGCGCTCCCACAGTTCCGCGAGTTCCGGAAGCAGGTCCGTATAAGCGAACAGGCAGAGCTCCTGAAGCGGAATCGGAGACGCGAATTAGAAGAAGACGAAGAAGCGTGGGCCAAGAGAGCCGCGCAGGAAGACGTCTGGGCGGTCGAAGACCACGAGAAGCGCGCTCCGAGTGCCACGGGAAGCTCGTGACTTGCTGTGGTACGCGAGTTGTACGTATAAAACGTCCTCTTAGCAGAAGGAGAGGAGACAGCGCAGTAGAAAGCCTACCAGCCGAGGGATGAGCGAAAGAAGAGCTCTGAACGCAGTGTAATCTAAATACGAGGGGGAGAGGGCGACTCGAGGGCAGGGAAGCCCCGATTCGGCGCTCCCCTGAGGGGGTGTGTCAGATTGAGCGCGCTACGCGAGGCTTCGGCAACGCTCGGCAGAACACTATTTCCGAGCGCCGAGCCCCGGGTCAGGGGGTGGCATACCCCCTTCCCTACGCGCCCCTGAAGGGCCCTTAGACAGTTACTGTCGAATTGAGGGTTTAGAACGATGTATATTCCGTTATGTGTGTAACTGTCTAAGGGCCCTTCAGGGGCGCGTAGGGAAGGGGGTATGCCACCCCCTGACCCGGGGCTCGGCGCTCGGAAATAGTGTTCTGCCGAGCGTTGCCGAAGCCTCGCGTAGCGCGCTCAATCTGACAGTTACACACATAACGGAATATACATCGTTCTGAACCCTCAATTCGACACCTTACGCTTCTGCTAAATAGATGTGTATCAGGGACCCCTAGACTGGCTAGTTACCGACGCTAGAATAAACTTCCGCTTAACAGAATTCCGAAACGCGGCGAGAGGAATAGCAATTAAAATCAAGGAAATTCCTATAAAAGCCTATAATAGTATTAAGAAAGTTAAACGATACTATATACCTCTAAGGAGGGCGTACGAAATTATTAAAGCAGAAGACCTAATAATTACGCTAGAATTAGTACTTTAAACAGTAGTCAAAGCAGTTAACGATACTGCTAGCCTAAACGGAATAGTGCTAACACTCTTAGTATTCGGCTCGTACCTACGAATTACTAACGATTTGCTACTATCTCCCGAAGTCATAAGGCAGGCGAAAGCGATTAAGAAGGCGACAAGCGAAGTATGCGAACTTTACGCAAGGCGATAGGTAGCAGAAGCTATCGCTACCCGCAATAGCCTTGATATAAGGCTAATTATTAATTTACTACTACGGTCGTAAGTACGAGTATAGCGCGAAAAGAAGGGCTAGACCGGACCGTTTACTTTAGTAGCTATAAACGGCAAAACCTATACTATCGATACGCTACGTAGTCCGAAGACCTTCCGGTCTACCATAGTTAAACTATACTATGAAGATCCCGATCAACTACCTAATTCCATCGCCGCGCCAGAAGAAGAAGAACCCGAAGCTAAGATACCGCAGTAGGAAGTAGTACGCGACGAAATTATCGTCGCCGGCGGAGGTAGTAAACCGGACGAACCGCAAGAGGCACTAGAGCTACCGAGAAGACGCCTAGGCAGACCCCGGAAGAGACTACTACCAATCGCCTACTTTATAGAGGAATTCAACGATAACCCGGATTATTAATAAATATTCCTATCAATTAAGAAGTAAGTAGACGAAGAATTAGTAATCAAACTACGACGAGAAGGTATTATTACTATACTAAGCGAACCGTTCGAATAGTTAACTAAATAAGAGATTAATAGCCTTATCGCTAGAAGAGTATTTAAATTTACCTAGTTTAATAAGAGAAGGTACTAGAACGTACGAATCTTCCGATCTCGTATCGTTAACAAAGTCAAGGGTAAAACAACCAAACCCTACGAGAAATCGAGACTTATAATACAAGGTTACGCCGACGATAGCAAGAAGGCTATATTAACCTAATCGCTAACGATTTAGCAGGCGAGTTAACGGCTAATTCTATTAATTACCCCGTTACTCCTACGAGAAGGGAAATAACTATGGCTTCGAGATATTATATAAGCCTACGTTTAATCCTCTATAAGGCTTAATCGTACTATTCTCGCCTACCTACCGAAGCAAATTCAAGACCAGTACCCAAAAGGGACTATTATAAAGGTTATAAAGCCTTTATACGGAATCGCAGAAGCTAGAACCTACTAATAAGCAACGTATCATAAGCATCATAGAGAGAATCTCTAGATAGTTACTTCTTCGTACGATCTATGCCTATTAATCTTATCTACCGAAAATCTATACTTTAGCTATATCGGCATATAAACCGACGATACCCTCGGTTTGTTAGACAAGGCGTTCTTATAATTAGAAGACGAATAGTTAGAAAAAGCGGCTTTTATAGCAAAAGCGAAGAATATCCTTATAATTAACAAACCCCTCTAATTTAACAGAGGGATAATCGCGCTGTCAACCGATAATTCGATTAATTTAAGGCAAAAGGGACAAGCTAAGAAGTTACGATATATTAAGATTACTAAACCTAACCTAAAATAGCAATATATCGAACAACGCGCTAGAAGGGCGTATATCGCGTTAATTTGCCAACCCGAGGCCTGTTTCGATTTATCTACTGCTACCTAATACTAAGACCCCTCGCTAGAAGCGATAAAAGCATTAAATCAACGGATTCGATAGCAAATAGAATCGCCTAACCGAGGAATAACGTTTATCCTACTCGACCTTATAATAGCTAAGCTATTCGTTTTCGTTAATAAGTCGTTTGCTAATAACTACGACCTCTCCTCCTAATTAGGGTTTCTGATCATCCTAGCTAACGATACTTCTTCTAATAGTAATAACGGAGAATTTACGATTTATAATAACCTTGTTTATTATAGCTTTACGAAGAGTAAATAAGTTACCCGTAGCGTATTAGCGTTAGAGATCTATAGGATAGTCGCTAGCGTCGATATAGCCTACGCCTTCGCTATAACCCTAGCGATAATTACTAACTACCTTAACCTACTAACGATTTAGATAGTTGTCTATACTAATTCTTATTCGCTATACGAGTATCTCGTAAAGCTAGGCACTACTAAAGAAAAGCGACTTATGATCGATATTATAGCGTTAAGACAATTGTATGAAAGACGAGAACTATAAGAAATTCGTTAGATTAACGGCGAAGACAACCCTGCTAATACCCTTACGAAGAGCAAACCAAATCGAGCCTTCGAGAGATTCGTTGATAGCAATACGATAACGATACGTATAGAGGGATAGGTAATAAGACCGTAACTATGGGAGAAAGTAGGGATAGGAGGCCGAATTGACGAGGAGACGGAACTGTATAGGGACAACGTATTCCAACCGCTTCAACACTATAAAAAGAGAGTTTCCAGTGTTGCGATAGTTGGAATACGGAGTCGTGTGGCACTTCCAGCCACACGCCCGCCAGGCTGAGAGGCCCAAGCCTCCGGAATACGGAGTCGTGTGGCACTTCCAGCCACACGCCCGCCAGGCTGAGAGGCCCAAGCCTCCCAGACCCACGTGACAGGCCAAGGGGGAATATCCCCACCTTCTAGTCAACAACACCACTTTCAACTATCATGAACCATCGATTAGAACCAATTTACTGTTATTTGTTATTGACGAACGGAATTCCGTTTCACCCCCTGTGAAACCTACACCGATGAACTTTGGTGTCAAGTCATCATCCACGGTGGTGCCAGAAGCTTTCTGACGAAGTAAGTCTTCGGCAGTCTCGAGGGGAGTTGTTTTCAGGTCGTAGAGCGCGAAGCACAGCGAGTTTTGGAGCGTTTCTTTGGCGACGGGTTCGGGTAGAGGTTTGCCCCAGTAGAACTCTTCGGAAGCGAAGGCGTCATTGAGATCTTTTATGGAAATAAGGCTAATGTCGGTTGAGATGAGATGAGAATCTCTCGTCCATTTGCGGTTTCGTAGTTGTGATGCGATTGATGCCATGATTGAGTAACTACCGTATTCCCGAGTTGAATTCAACGTCTTTTGCTTGGGTCACGATTGACGCCTTACTGAAACGAATCTGATGTTGACGATATGAGTCTTTCCCGGGAAATTCTATAATCATTCGGATTACCAGAAGAAGAGCTGATTACATTCAACTTAAACAGTGGCTGCAGTGAGAGTTTGTCCAAAGGCGTATGAGTCACTCTTGGCGGATTTGAAATCCGTCTGTTTTCCAGCAACTTTGGCTCCTTGCACATCAGAAATGACTCTTTCGAGGGCCACAGCTTTCAGCTGCTCAGATGAAGCGAGTGATATGATTGGCCCTGTTGTCGCGCCCTAACGAAGATAATTTAGGTTGGGCGTGTTTGGCGTATTTGCTGTACTCGGCTGATTCTCGGCACATGAGCGTGCCATAGGACTTGCATCGCTATCGGCACCTATGATCTTTTCATTGGGTATGGACGATTAGTAGCTAGATGGTTGACCGTTTAGTTGTACGTTGTGGATTCCTTGTATGATGCATCGACAGGTTTGTTTACAGAATGAACACATATGGGCTCTATCCCTCTCTAAGGTTGTAAAATCATTCAGCGCAATTCGTCCACCTTTTCAACGGTAAGGTAGTCTACGCATTTGGAAGCGTACCAAAACCATCTTATTCTAGAGTTTTTCGTTGCGATTATGCAAACACACTATGTTGAACCCATGCTCAGTAGGTCTTAAGGAGTGAATCTAAGCACGTATAAAGAATTAGTCTCATCTTGCAAGTTGCCTTCCTCTGAATGACCAACTTGGCTGCCTAGGCTCACAAGTAAGGCAGCATTCCCTCAACTGATTCAACATAGACTCTCGGAACTGAACGCATGCTCAGTTGATTTTAATTGGATAATTGTTAAAGCATGTCAATTAGTGGGCTAGAAGACTTTACAACTCGACAGTGATAGCATTTACGCCCCATTTTAAGACATTGTACTAAGTCTGGCGGTAATAACCCAACGATTCTAAAAAATGCAAAATAACGAACTTGATTTACGCTATTGTGACGAGAAGACACGTCAACACTTTCCAACTCTAAAATTGACTTATATCCATCTAATGAGTGGTCTCTGAAGTTGGGTACAGATTCGGTCCGCTCTAAGCCATCTCAATAAGGACCAATACATACGTAGAGATACTCATTTCGATTGACGATTATATCACCTAGAGTTGCTTTTTCGACAAAGAAAGCCGCATGTCGTCTACCATGGCTTGTAAACGCCTGACAATGACGCAACCACTCTTCCCACACATCCGAGATGCATCCACCGGTAACCGAGACTATGCACCTCCGACTACCAAGAATCACCGCGTGACTTACAACTGCGGGGACTTGGACGAACTTTCCATAGAGCAGAAGCAAAGGAAGTCTTGCCCGGCCGAGATGCAACAACTTCCCGATCCATCGACGCAAGGAGCGCGATGTGGGTGGCCAATTCCGTCTTCTCCAACTTTGTAATGAGGTCTTTTTCCAACTGACTTTTGGGCCTAGAGATCAGCCAACCTCGAGAACAAAGCCCCCTCAACGGCCACAGGCGGACCAATCGTCAAAGGGAACGCAGCAATCAGGCTAAATGCATCGTGGGTATGCCGTAGATTTACGGGACGCATCCCTGTACCGTCGTAGTTCCCGCGGGGAGAGACGCGGGGTGCGGGGGGCCTGGAAGCTATTCACCCGAGATTACTCCATCAACAATTGACTCCCAAAGCCGAACAAAGTTGGAGCTATCCGGCGCGTTCTCCAAATGCTACATTTTCTGCTGCTGGAATAGTCCGACGTTACGATGATGATCGAATCGAGCAATGCGAGGAAGGCAGTGGGCCTCGTTCAGGATGAGGCAGCTTATAAGAAGACGGGATGGTAATGCGTCTGGAGCTGGTTCCGATTTTGCTGTACTCCAGCATAGGCCGCCAAAATGTCTTCACGACGGCGCACTTACGGGCTAGTCCTTCTGAGCTTCGTCCTCTTGCTCGTCTCTCGCCCTGCTGCGGCGCTGAGCATCAAGAGGCAGGATAATACTACAATCTCTACTGGTCGCGAGCGCGTCAGTATCAATAAGGGCTGGCGTTTCTGGCGCTCCGAGTTCAACCCAGATGGCATCATCTACGATCACCGCCCAGACTTGGAGAACCTCACTGACGTCTTCGTTCTGAAGCCATGGATTCTCCCCTCCGCCAACGACTTCATCAACGACCCAGAGAAGCACCATGAGCGCCCCGCTGACGAGCCCACCCGTAATGTGTCCTACGCGTCTGCGGAGTTCGATGATGCGGCCTGGGAGACGGTGAACCTGCCTCACGACTGGGCCATCAAGGGCCCGTTTTACACCGAACAAGATCCCATCATTGGTGGTGGAATGGGTCGTTTGCCCGTACACGGAGTCGGTTGGTACCGCCGCAGTCTGAAGTTGAACCCCGAGGACAGGGGCAAGTCCATCTACCTCGACATCGACGGCGCCATGTCCTACGCTATGGTCTGGCTCAACGGCTACCTCGTCGGTGGCTGGCCGTACCCGTACAACTCTTTCCGACTGGACCTTACCGAGTACCTCAAGCCCTGCGGGAACAACATCCTAGCAATTCGTCTTGACAACCCTCCCGACTCAGCACGCTGGTACCCAGGCGGCGGTCTTTACCGTAACGTCTGGCTGACCAAGGTCAGCCCGGTTCACGTCGGGCAATGGGGGACGTTCATCGTCTCCAAGGACGTCTCCGCCGGGTCCGCAACCCTCGACCTCGTCGTCGAAGTTGAGAACAAGGGCGAGTCGGAGCAAAAGGTTGAAGTATCAACCGATGTTTACACCCTCGATTCCAAGACCGGCAAAGAGGGCGAAAAGGTATCCTCGTTCAAATCTTCCACAGTCTCCGTTGCGGCGGGTAGCAAAGCATCCGTTGACGGCTCCTCGACCGTCTCGAATCCCCAGCTCTGGGGCCCTCCTCCGAACCAGCAACCCCATCGTTATGTCGCCATCACAACACTTTTAATCGACGGAAAAGCCGTAGACACATACCAAACAAGATTTGGCATCCGCTCCATCACCTACGATTCCAACAAGGGCATCATTGTCAACGGCGAGCACATCCCCCTCCAAGGCGTAAACCAACACCACGACCTCGGCGCCATCGGCGCAGCATTCAACACCCGCGCCGCGGAGCGACAGCTGGAGATCCTGGCAGAACTCGGCTGCAACGCGGTGCGAATGGCGCACAACCCCCCGGCGACGGAGCTGCTGGAGCTGACGGACAGCATGGGCTTCATCGTCATGGACGAGATCTTCGACAGCTGGTACAGGAACAAGACAAAGAACGACTTCCACCTCATCTTCGAAGACTGGCACGAGCCGGATCTGCGGTCGGTGATCAGAAGGGACAGGAACCACCCTTCCGTCGTCATGTGGAGCTTCGGAAACGAGGTCTCGGAGCAGCAGATTGGTGAGCCGGGGACGGTCCCGGCCGTGGAGCTCCGCGGCATCGTAAGAGAAGAAGACTCGACGCGCCTGTCGACGGCGTCGATGAACTACGCCAAGCCCAACATGTCGTTCCCGACCGCCATGGACGTGATCAGTCTCAACTACCAAGGCGAGGGCATCCGCGACACGCCAAACTACTCGCACCTGTCCGGCATCAGGACGAACCCCCTCTACGGCGACTACCACGAGGCGTTCCCCGAGAAGGTGATCCTGGGCAGCGAGACGGCCTCGGCGCTCAGCACGCGCGGGACGTACATCTTCCCGGTGGTGGACGACGTCGGGGCGCCCGTCAACGAAACGTCGGGCGGAAACCAGACGAGCGGGTACGTGAGCGCATACGAGCTCTACTCGGCCAACTTTGGCTCCTCCGCCGACAAGGCTTTCGCGGCGCAGGACAGGAACCCCTTCATCGCGGGCGAGTTCGTCTGGACCGGCTGGGACTACATTGGCGAGCCGACGCCGTACTACTCCGCGCGCAGCTCGTACTCCGGCATAATCGACCTCGCGGGCTTCAAAAAGGACAGGTTCTTCCTGTACCAAGCGCGCTGGCGACCTGACCTCAAGTTCGCATACATTCTCCCCCACTGGAACTGGCCGGACCGCGTCGGCGAGGCGACGCCGGTGCACGTCTTCACCGCCGCGGATGAGGCGGAGCTCTTCCTCAACGGAGAGTCGCAGGGCAGACAGACGAGGGCGGAGTTCAAGTACCGCTTCCGCTGGGACGAGGTCAAGTACGCGCCCGGAGAGCTGAAGGTCGTGACGTACAAGGACGGTGCCGAATGGGCAACCGAGGTCGTCAAGACGGTGGGCGAAGCGGCTCAATTGAGGGCTGCCGCCGACCGGACAACCATTGCGGCTGACGGAACTGATCTTTCCTTCATCACCGTGGAAGTACTGGATGGAAATGGAGACTTTGTTAGGTTCGCTGATAACGAGATCACGTTTAGCATCGAGGGACCCGGAGAAATCGTCGCGACTGATAACGGCGACCCGACGGACCTGGTCGCGTTCCCTTCTCTTCAGAGGAAAGCTTTCAGCGGACTCGCACTCGCGATTGTGAAGTTTGAGGAGGGTGCTACGGGTGAGGTTACTGTTACCGCGACTGGCAAGGGGTTGAAGGATGCTGTGGTCACTTTGAAAAGCCAGTAGACTGTTGTTTACAGATTAGATGGACCATAGAGTGCATTCATAGACATTTAGTCGCTCATTGCAGAAATTCGTCAAGTGTCAACCAATGTGACAGTTCATGTACTTCTCAAAAGATGCACTTCAGCTCCTCGATCAGCGAGGCGAACGACGAGGTTATGTAAGAAATCGCAAACTATAACAAATAGGTACTCAATAGGAGAAAGCAAGCTGAATGAACATCCCTGTGGCTTCTCAAGGTAGTGTCGCATGCTTCAAAATTCAACATGAGATGAACCACTGGAAGCGAGTCAAGAACTGCCTCCCTAAACTCCACCCCTCAGACACTGCAGAAATGTTACATAGGGCTGAAGAGTCCGTCAGGCTTCAGCACTGGCCGAACCGGCCGAATAGACCACCGGAATCGCTTTCATCGTCATTGGGCTTCTCGCACGTACACTAGTTGACAACGGCTCCAGTTTCTAGCGATGAATCCTGACGCGGTGCCACTGCCGCTCTGCCGGGGCAGACGGCGTAAAAGCACAAACTACGTAGTGTTAGTAAGTATTCTGCGCCGAAAATAGTATACTGAAAACGCCGTGTCGTATGCACAAGCCAAGTATCCCCCGCCAACGGGTTGGCCGGCACTAGGATCCCCAGTACCGTCGAGATTACCTCTGCTCCACAAAGACCCCCCTATTACGAGGAGGGACGATCGCTATTATGCGGGAAAGGTGTTCTACGTTACTAGTATATGGATAAAGAGTTTTAAAAGCGCAGTGCTGCTTGTTCTACTGCCGCAATCCTTTGCGAGGTCCCGCCAGCTTAAGCCGGTTCTGGAAGACGTTTGGGTTATTGTTTGAATATGTCGCTCATCACCCGTTTCATTTCAGCGGCAGCGGCCGCGTCGGCTGCGACGGCGGCTGTGCTTGATCTGCCCATCATTGTGGACAACGGCTATGTGAGTTGGGGAGGCTGCATGGCATGAGGAGGTAGAGAAGTCGTTAACGCTTTGAAACAGAAATCGGTCGAGTTCAACATTGGTACTCCCGCCAAGACCTACCGTCTTCTCTTTGACACGGGCAGCGCGTCGTCATGGGCCGTAGACAGTACTTGCAAGAAGGATTGCGCCAACGTGAGCGGGTACGTTTGTTCTATAGTTCCCTGTACTAGAGCACAGCGAACTGACACGAGGTAGATATGACCGCGTTGGTTATGATATTAACAACTCCTCCACCGGCCGTCTGACCGGAAACTACGCCGACATTCCTTACCTCGGAGGCCGCACCGCCGGCCCCGCGGTGGATGAGGTGTGGTCTGCTGCCGGATTGACCTGGAACCAGACATTTATCGCCGCCAACGAATCGAACTGGGCTGGATTGGCTGCGGATGGCTTCATGGGGCTTGCTTTCAGCAGCATCATCGACGGCGGTGCAAACACGGTCATGGAGACGCTGATGGCCGAGAACAAGGTCGATGCCGCCAAGTTCGGAATCTACTATGGCACCGAACACAACAACACGGGGGACAAGCCGGGCGACGGAGTGCTCACGCTTGGCGGTTCCAGGGAGGCAGACTTTGTCGACGGTGACCTGGCCACGATCCCCATTACTCGAGTCAACGGCGGCTACGACGTATGGCGGTCGACTATGCTTGGAATCAACGGTACCCGCACCGTTGCCGATGGCAGCGTCGTCGAGTCGGAGACGGACTTTGAATTTGGTAACGTCGTCTTCGACACGGGTGCTGGTAGCAACACCTTGCCCGCCGAGCTGAACCTGAAGGTGTACGAGTCGATCGGGATGAACTACACGGCCATCCTGGAGGGCGACCACATCCCGCTCTGCAGCGAGTTCAACTCGACGTGGTCTATCAAGTTCAGCTTTGGCGACTACCGCAACCCGACGGTTGTAGAGATGACTGGCGACCAGCTGCGGAGGCCTGGCTTTGCCTACAGAGAGGACGCTTGCTGGCCGCCTTTCCAAGATGGTGAGGGACCTTCCTTCTCCTTGATCGGCACGCCTATCCTTCGCAACTTCTACTCGGTATGGGACTACGGATCGGCTGCGAATGAAACGGACATTCAACGTTTTGATCCCAAGTTGTCGCTTGGTAAGCTCAAGACCAAGACCAACTAGATATGAGGTATGAGGCTTAGAGTAGCAGGAGAGAGACCTGGTTTGGTATCTGGATAATAAAGGTGACGAATAGAACAATGAACCCCTGTAAAACCTGATAATCCTTCAACGAATGTAAGCTGCGTCGATCGTGGGCTTGGTGAGATCTTGGTTCGCACGTGGTAAAGGATCATCCAATCCACTCAGACATCGGTCTGGAACCCCCGTGCAACGCCCTGTGCCCATCGGCTTCGCTTATTTTTAAGTTTACTTGTGACGTGCCATTCCTGAAAAAGTTGGGAACGATGGCAGATTATCATTGGTGATTTCAAACATCAAGGCCCGAAGCTGGGATTGTTGCGGTAAAAGAAGAATGTGTGTGTGTGTGTGAGAAAAGTGCTGGGATGTGTTATATTTTGAAGGTGCTCAAACCACTCACAATGACGTTATCAGTGACGTCTTGGCTGTGCTGTCATTGGCTCTATGAAACACTTGGGACGCACTCGCCACGCACCAGCGAAGCAGAGGCCTGCGGTTGAAGATGTAGTAGGTGTGGCTGGAAGAAAACCTGGAACATGGGAAGTGAAATGCACGAACCGCTCAGTCAGTCGTCACTGGCTGTGTTTGGTGAGGATGATGAGGGTATTTGTGGCATATTATTTCACCTTTTCACATGATTGTAAGCTTGCAATCTCCACCTAACTTTATGATACCCTGACATCCAACATCGTACTGATTAACACCTAAATCATATATTTTCTAACCCGATTACCGTAATATTACCTATATTCTATTTATTTTTGAGAATTCTTCACTACTTTCGACATGACAAGAACACTTCTTCTGTGCTTTATTCACGGATTCAAGGTCAGCGATCTTACACCATCGACTGTTACAATCTATGCTAACCATGAACAGGGGAACGATGACACTTTCCACGATTTCCCAGATGTAAGTAAAGAAACCGACACGAGGTCACATGAGCAGGTGCTCATGTTTTTACAGGACCTCAAGCGGGTAGTCACAAAGCAATTACCGGATCACCGCGTCGAGTCCATCGTCTACCCAAAGTATGAAACGAAAGGCGAACTAGCTGAAGCCACCGAGGCTTTCTTAGGATGGTACACTCACATTTTTGTCCTGCATAGAAAATTCGACTAACACTTACATCCAGGCTTAAAGAACAAGTGATGGAAGTGAGAAAGGCTAATGTCGAGAAGCCATGGCCGCCAAAAGACCGTGAAGTCGGTGTTGTCCTCGTTGCGCACTCTATGGGGCAAGTAATCACTCCAAAAAATACCAATAAAAATGACACTAACGCTGTGTAGTGGCTTCGTCGCGGCCGATACTCTCTTCCTCGCAATCAATGAGAGAGCGCAATCCAACCCATCAGAAGACGATGCAATCTTCCCCTTGATCCAGGGCATTCTTACATTTGACACTCCCTACAATGGCCTCGCACGCTCCATGTTCGTCTACGGCGCCTTCTCCAATTATCAAAAAGTCAGTAGCGTCTTCAATGTCATGACCGCCCTCTCAGCCGCCGCACCGGCAACTCTTGCTCGCCTTGGTAGTCGGCGCGCAGCGACCTCCGCCATCGCCTCGACTGCTCGAAACCCCGGCTGGAAGACATGGCAGCTCGTCGCAGTTCGCACAGGAACCGTTGGAGCTATCGCAGCCGGTGGCGTCGCCGCATACGTCAACCGAGAAGCCATCATGAACGGTCTCAAGAACCTCAACAAAGAGTCTGTCAAGGAAGGTTACCGCCAAAGTATCGACGCTCTGGGCCAGGGTCTCGCGTACATTAACCGCGGGAATGTCGGAAAATCCTTTGCTTGGCTTTCGGATCATTTCACCTTCGTCGGCACCCTTTTGAAGCAAAAGGAACTTAACCGACGTCTCGAGCGCATGGGCGCGTTGAAAGGGGTCGGGATTCACGACTTTTACGTTTCCCTGGGCGAGAACGGTTACTGGCAGGGAGGCTACTTCGTCCCCGAGCGAACGTTCTGCGCCATACCCGAGGAAAGCCACGCTGCGTACTCCATCTTCTCCCGCCAGGTGTTGCGCAAGGTCGACGACGAGGTGCAGGCCCACATGAGCATGTTCCGCCCGGACAAGAACGAAGGATACGAGAAGATGACCGAAAAGGCGGGAGATTTAGTGATTCAGTGGTTCAAGAGCGACGAGCAAGTTGTGGACGACCCCAAGTTCCGAGAACCGCCGCCTGAGGAGGCTGCTGAGGGCCACGAGGTTGAGGAGACACTCGAGAAAGCCACATCAAACACGGACGAAACGCAAAAGTCTGACGAAAAGCTCGATGAAAAAGAAGGATCCAAGGCAACAGATGAACTGCCGGATGAGTCGCCCATTGACATCGCAGCTGCTGCATCTCTCGTCCCCCTACCAGAAGACGGCGAGGGAGAGCTAGTTGCCGACGCGAATGCCGAGAATGTCGACAGCGAACAGAAGCGTACCTACATGCAGCATCTCTTCCAAGTCGCACAACAGACAGGCACAGGTGTCAAGGGGTGGTGGCCCAGCAAGCTGCCCAGCATGCCCAGCATGCCCAGCATGCCCAACATGCCGTCTATGCCCAAGGTCCCCGCATCCGTTTCTTCACTTGGTCAGGTTTCGATGCCGAGCGTGAACATCTTCAGGAAGGGAACCCCGGCGCAAGAACAGACTGACAAGGAGAAGAGCGAGAAGGATGATTCGAAAGACAAGCCTACAGAGGCAGATGATACCAAAGCAGCCGAAAAGTCTGATGATGTGGAAAAGCCTGTCGACGAAAGCGGAGTGCAGTCGGGGTCGGAGCCTAAGGAGGTTGGGAAAAGTGCAGAGTCGAAGGAGTAAGAGATAGGGTGCTTAGGGGGGGAACACTATGACAGGATTCAAGAGCTGTAAATGACTTGTTTCGTAGTAATAATTGAGAAAATCACGTTGCAAAACAAAATGTGACACCATGCATAAGATCCTGAATTTCACTGCCGGGATACTAGCAACAAGTTGTAGTTGGTCTTAGTACCTATTGAGCCAGCATCAACAAACCTTGTGTAGGCCTAGAGAGATGCCTGACAGCCCAGACCTGGGTTGCCGGCATGTTTTCTCCGTATAAGCACCACACCAAAGGCTTCTGTAATGAATTCAAGTTTACCTAGCCAAACTCAGTCAAATACGAAATTCATCCCACAACGTCACCACCTTCCCAGTCGGGAAGCTCTTCGCGCAACACTACGGGTTTATTCTGCGGTATTCGTATATATTGAAGACTAGGGGTATAATGTCTGATTGGACGATCTATAATGGCACCCGATGCCAGCTTTGAACTGCAACAACAACTTTTAATCCGAATTCGTCGCCCTCGACGTCCACTGTGAATGTTCAGGTTTCCGTCTGGTACAGCGTCGATAAGCTATTCAGTTCTCAGTTCCAGCTGCAAGGGACCTGGATGACCCAGCCAATTTGAATAAAATCCTTGTTCTTGATGAGGCCGGAGTTCATCGACTGGAGGGTGTCGGAGTTGGTGCAGAAATCCGAAGCAATGTGGTCCAGCGTGTCGCCGGACTGAACAACGTAGGCGCCGTCGAGGGCGGAGTTCTTCTTGCAGTCGCGCTTCTTCCTGCCAGCTTGGCAGGGAACCTTTAGGTTCTGGCCGGCTCTGACTTCGCGGATGTTGGGATTCCACGACCTGAGGACGCTGGGGCTAGTGCAGAAGTCGGCGGCGACGTTGTTGAAGTTGTCAAAGCCGACGGTGTAGTACCATCCGTCGTTCGCGCCAGCCTTACGGCAGCTACGACGGAGGGCCTCGGTGGAGCCGAGGAGGGTGGCGAGGGTCAGAACGACGTCGAAACGCATTTTGAATGAACGTCTGGGTCAGATTAGGGAATTATTGTATGAATGAGCGACTGGTGTGTAAGAAACGAGTGAGTGATCAGTAGTGGGAAAACAGACGACTTTGAAGATCGTTATATATTCAAAACTACACGCCATCTGCAGCCTCGTTTTCATCTTTCGGAATCGGCACGGTATCCAAAACATTGGCCAAAGCATGATGTCTTTGGTGGGGAATGTTTGCTTATTGTCTACTTTGCTAAGGTTTGATTGTTTGTTCACTAGTTATATTCAGAGTGGAAATACTTATTTATTTGTCCTCTAACATGGCCCGTACGCTTCGCAAAGGGCCTAGCCTCTTGTCAGTGGCAACGAGCCCCAGTGTCTTCAACAGGGCTGAAGGCCTAGATACCTTTCAATCAAACCCCTTGCCACGCTAAAATATGGGATCATCCATCACTGACTCGGGTCGCAAAGACGAACGGTTCATCCGGTTGTCAACTCAATCTATCTAGTCTCGAGTCCTAAGCACAACAAATGATCGGGCGCATCGAGATGACGTATTGTTTACATTGGCAATTTGACAAGCCATCGATAACTTCCAGTCGCTGCAAATTTTGACTTCAGTTGAGGTTCGTATTGGTTGCTCTCTTCCAGCGTCCATTCCCAGAGTAGATCCTCAAAGTTGTCCCACACAACCTTATTACTTCAAAGTACCCGGATCTTTGGGATCATTTTTTTTTTTTTTTTTGAATCTTTCTGATTCAAACTGCCGTGGGCTCAACAACAGCTTCATTCGCTTCAAGATCTTCAGGTATTGGAGCTCAGAGGCGCTACTTTCCGGCCTCCTGGGAACAGCACCGTAGGAGAAGATCTCCTTTGCCAACACAAAAGACACCTCCAAGATAAACAGAAGCTTAAAGGGGGTAGGTTCGCTAGTTCATTTATTGAAATAACAAGATGAGGTAAACGGCAATCGATCACAAGACAGTGATGAACTTGGCGTTTGCGGTATAAAATTTCAGGCGTGACCAAGACCCACCTACAACCATCTGACTTTTCGAAGCCGAACGATGTATCCGTACAAAATTTGCGGGATATCATTCAGCTTGGCGTATGGTTAAAGCTCATCTTTATTCCGGGCTAAAAATAAATTCTCAGGTCACAAGTTTAGACAACCATGACTTCCGAGTGTACGCGTGTGCTGCGTACATGGTGCTGAGCCAAACAGCCTTTGCTGAAGAAAAACCTTCAGAGATATCCTTGTGGAGACTGCATGAAAACTGCCATTCCAGATGCTCGGCTGTCGTGTGCCGTCACACTATAAACACTGGAGGAAACGGTGGGGGAAGACCGGCATTTGCAGCCGAGTCCAACGTGTTGATGCGTTGACTGACTCGAACGCTGGGTTGGTACGAGTTGCCGTGGGGACTATAAACTGCACTAATTGATCGGAAATTTCGGCAGTAGACCAAACACATATCAGTCAAGAATGTACCCCCTTTAGATGGCTCTATTTTTGTTCCCGAGTTTACAAGTTTAGGAGGATTTCAAATTCTGAAGAATAATATCAAAACAGCTACTTGCAGCACACAAGTTTGATAAAAGATAATACGGAAAGCGATTAATATTTGCTAGACTTGATGAATGATTTTGCACTTAGTTATTAGGTTCGAGCTACTGTTTTCAAGATAAAGAGTAACGACAATTTTTCATGCAACACATATCACAAAGAATTTTCAGAAGACCCCTTAATTTGAAGCTTCTGCAGACTTTGAAAATTTGCCAAACAAAACCAGATATTTGGCCGGTTTGGACGGACTTGTGCGCTGCTGGTTTGCTCCACACAGCAGAGAGGCATAAAGCTAAGCGGTATTGTGGGCAAAATTGCGCTATGGCTAATTGATTGACTTTTCTTGGACCTGGCCGTTGGGTGGCAGTGCACTTTGTACGCCTTCAACTTAATTGGATGGAAGGAGAGCCTGCGGCGTGCATCGATCTGACATTCGAGGATATATTTACTTGTCTTTATCTGCCATGTCCCAATGGAACAACATGATGACCACGCTTGCTATCGTCAGTGTCTTAACCGATCTCCCTCGAGGGTGTGGTCAAGGCGACCATTGGGGGGGGGGGATAACCTGACCAATTACCCACTTATTTTGTGATTTGTGGGGCTACCCTGAGATCAGCTGACCATGGTCAGCTAGTTAGCTATGGTCAGGTTGAAATTCCTTAGCGCGGTTTGAAACCTCACCCTTGACATACTTTTTGTAAGAACATACGACATTTAAACGCTTCCAAATCCGTTCCGAATCGATTTACAATGGCTCTTCAATCGATTGAAAATCTCTTCCCTCGCCTAGAGGGAATAAGTCCTCTATTAGAACCTACTAGTCTTGATGCAGAAGCTGAAGAAGACTTAAATCTTTACTATCAACTACCAGCCCAGGCCCAGTCTGGCTTACCAGTAAATGAGGAGGTAGGGATATATGAGAACGACTTTGGAATTAGTTCTAAATCGATTCAGGATCAACTCGAAACCGATTCAGAAATACCTCCAACACTTGTTTCATCAGAGGCAACCCGTTCTGGGCATAATAGCCTCAGGGATGTTCATGTACTTGCTCAAAAAGTAATCTTTCTACCTACATTTATAGAATATCCAGAAACAAGTGAGAATGGAGTCCTTTATGTTATTGATATAAGGACTTTAAATGAGGAGGATATTAAATCGCCTTGGAGAATGGTAAACGAACTACTTTTGAATCGATCCGGGATCGATCCCGAACTACTTCAGAACTAATTACATCACAGATTCAGTACAACCATGCCCGGCAATTCCCACCAAAACGGACGACTTCAGCATTCCTTCAAAATGCTGTTTGTTTACGTTCAACTTACACTTGTACAGGTGGAAAGGCATGCTCTTATTTCGATCAGAATCTTCCATGCTGGAAGCATCAGAAAGTTACCCCAGAAATCTTGCAAAGTATTGAAGCATTACGAACAGAGGTACTACAGTATGATCTCAAACGGAAAGCAGTTTCGTAAGCATTCAGAATCGATTCCGAACGGGTTCGGAACCCTTTTAGAAATAATATACTAATACTTATAAATAGATGGGCACAAGCACAGATAAAACGTTTCCAACAACATACCGCCTGCCGACCGTTTACAGAAAGATGTAGTCTTGAAGTAGTTAATACAGAGTATGGGGTAAGAAGCCTTTCTGAATGGATTGGGAATCAATTTGGAACTGATTCGGAATCACTTTAGTATATTCCAGGAACTTCCCAGATTACAGCCCGCTGCATCTGCTGGTCACAAAGTCTCCAAGGAGAAAACCATTATATTGGCTTTCCTCCAATCGAATTCCAGCTATATTTACCTCTAATCAAAACTATACTTCAAGGGGGAAGTATAGAAGAAAGCTCCCCTACTGATAGCTGTTATCTTTTTGCTAGCAATAAGAGGAGAATTACACGATGCGGTAAGTAAATTAGTATCGAATCGAATCCAAATGGGTTCCCAACTGATTCTGAATCAATCTAGACGCTAATCATATCGTTCCTGAAACAATTCTTCAAATTACGTGTTCAGTAAAATGGAACTTCTGGGTCCCGCTTGATCTAGAAGCTACCCCAGTTATTCTTCTAACTTCTCATGGGGTCCATTTACATCCACCACCACCACCAGTTAGAGCCCCAGCTGGTATTATATCTGGGCTGCAACAGGTAGTCCAGAAGATCAATCAACCTAGAACGGGGTTAAGTGAGAATCCTTTTAGAATCGTTTCCGAACCGATTCAGAACTAATCCAGTATTGATTCTAGATGCATTCCTACAATCTCGCGAACTTCAGGAATTCTGTGATACTTATAATAGCCAGACTATTACAAGCGTTCATCAAAGTCTAGCAAATACAGACTTCTTACGCTCAATTATCCGTAAACAAGAAGCAATTAGCTTTCCAGCAGGCTGTTCACGTCTAGCGATTTGGTATGAATACCAGTATGCTCAAACTAGGCGTCAAATTCGGGTATGAAGTGATTCTGAATCGGTTCTGAGCGGGTTCAATACTAATTTACTTATAGTATATTCAGTACTTTAATGATGACGGCAATACATACCTATGTATTGTATTTCATGCAGAGCAAGCTGAATTATGGAAGAAAGAGGCTTTTAATACTTTCCAGGTAGATACAAACTATAAACATCTAGCTGGAAAGGAGGAAGTTGAGGTTATTTGGGGATGGTATAATTCGATATCTTCGAAAGGTGCGTAATCGCTTCTAAATCGATTTAGAACGGATTCTTAACAGATTCCTAACTATTTTAGCAATTCCACTTATCCGAGTTTTTACCAATTCTGAAAGTACAGAAATGTATCAGCAGATGTATACAATTGTGTTTAAACTACTTTATAAGAAATTTGGATATAAAGTCAAGTGGAAACACCTTCATGGTAGGGGTCTACTAGGTATTACAGTTGATCAAGACCATAAAAACCTTATTGGTATGGGTTCTTAATAGTTTCTAAACCGATTCAGAACCGATTTATAACTAATTATCTAGGGTTTGGGAAATATCTATCTCTGGAATGTGACCCAGAGCATAGACCATGGGCATGGCAGGTTGAACGCTCTGTACGCTTCTGTTTAATTCATTTCCAACGAGGGATTGAGGCATACTGTACAGAAGACCGTAGCCCTGACTCTCTATGGAATCAAATGCGCAGCCTACTATTCTGCCGTTCCTCAGAAGACTACTTCGCTTTATGTCAGGCATTTGAGAGTAAGGATCAATTCTATATCGCTTCCGAATCGCTTCAGAATCACTTGGGAACTAATTTACTTAGCTGAACCTCAAATAAAAGCATGGGCTCAACATAAAGCCCGAAAAACAATTGCAGCTGGACTTAATCAGAACTGCTCTAAAATCCCCTTATCAGATTGGAGTCAATTCATACCTAATACAAATACTGTTGAGGTTTTACATGAAGCCTCATATACTTGGAGTAAT